GCGCTCACCCTGTGGTCTGTGTGGGTCCTAACGCCCCAGTATAGTGACGGGGACACTATACTGTCAAAGAGCACTGTCCTTCGGATGAGACGTTAAACCGAGGTCCTGACTCTCTGTGGTCATTAAAAATCCCAGGATGTCTTTCGAAAGAGTAGGGGTGTAACCCCGGCATCCTGGCCAAATTTGCCCAGTGGCCTCCTAATCATCCCCATATATATATATATATATACACTGATTGGCTTCATCACTCTGTCTCCTCTCCACCAGTAAGCTGGTGTGTGGTGAGCGTTCTGGCGCACTATGGCTGCCGTCGCATCATCCAAGTGGATGCTGCACATTGGTGGTGGTTGAGGAGTTTCCCCCTTCCATGTGAAGCGCTTTGAGTGCCTAGAAAAGCGCTATATAAATGTAATGAATTATTATTATTAATTATTATTATTAGTAGGGAATTCAGCCCTATGAGCAGAGCGTTCTTGGGTTTGAGAAGGGGGAGGGTTGGAGTCTCTTGGCCCTCTGACCCTCCTGGGCATAAACTGCCTGAACACGGCCGACTGAGACTTAGCGGCGCGGAACTTCTCAACCACCGTGTTGACCGCCTCCCCGAAAAGACCTGAGTGGGAGATAGGGGCATCCAGGAGGAAACTCTTATCCTTGTCTCGGATCTCCGTGAGATTCAACCAGAGGTGGCGCTCTGCAGCAACCGAGCCCGCCATAGAGCGACCTACAGCCCGAGCAGTGTGTTTGGTGGCTCTTAGGGCCAGATCTGTGGCTTTGCGAAGCTCTTTGACAGCTTCGGGCGTCAGTCCCTCTCCTTCATCCATGTCCTTCAAGACGTCCGCTTGGTAGGCTTGAAGGATGGCCATGGTATGCAGGGCCATGCCTGCTTGACCAGCCACCATGTAAGACTTCCCAATAAGGGAGGAAGTAGTCCTACAAGCCTTGGAAGGAAGAAGGGGACGCGCCTTCCAGGACGGTGCAGACGACGGGGCGAGGTGGTTAGCCAGCGTGTCCTCGACCGCTGGAATAGCGGAATAACCCTGCTCCACAAAACCCACAAGTTTGGTGAAGTCAGCGGCTGCCGCATTAGTTAGGCGTGCGGAGAAAGGCTGCTTCCAGGATCTGGAGATCTCGTGATGCAGATCGCTGAAAAAGGGCAGCTTTCTTCGCTCTGGCCGAGAATTGGGGCCACGTAGGAACCTCTCGTCGAGTTTGGACAATTGAGACTCGCGGGGCTCATCAGGCCAGTCAATAGAGAGCTTCTCTGTAGCGCGCGACAGCACGTCAATAAGCTCAGTGTAGGCCGGAGTAGGCCGCGCGTCCTGGCCGCAAGGCGGGATAACGTCATCAGCCAAAGCAGGTCCGAAATCCTCGGAGTCGGAGGCTGCAGTGTAAATCACGTCATCCAGACCGAAAGAAACTGATTCGCGGGCTCCCGGGCTGGGGCATAAATAATCATGCGCGAATTCAACCGCGCCGCGTGCGTGCTCGGGAGAGGGAGGGAGAGAAAGGGCGAGGCCCGTCTGCTCATACTCAATATCCTCGAGCTCAACATCCGAGCCCCAGGCCGCGGATCCACGAGAGGCCTCAGCAGTCTCGGGAGCGCGACGGGGGGGAACGAATGACTCTCAAAAACCGCGAGTCTAGAGCGGAGGGTTTTGAGAAGGAGATTGTCACAAAATTTACATTTTGACAATCCTAACACAGCCTCACGCGCATGCGAAAAACCCATACATTTAACACACTTACTGTGAGGGTCGTCGTTCGAGATAAAACGAACGCATGGCGGAGAGCAGCGTCGATAATCCATGACACTTCACTGTAAGGAGAACAGAGTTCCACTTATACCAGTCGCTGAAGTGTCGAGACGAAAGCTGAAGTTGAATTTGAAGAATTCGGGCTCAGAAAAACCGAACGAAGGGCGAGATGTGTCCGATTCGTGAAGGCAGAGAAATCTTAGGAGAAGATGGCGCGCGCGCGTTCATCATGCTACGACGTAAGACCGTCGGGGCGGAGCCAGCTTTGCGCGAGCGCCATCAGCCAATGAATTGGCGTGATTCTATAGGGCTTCAGGCAATCGGCACATCCAGAGGATATCCCACTGCGCTTTCCGCAGTGTTGAGTGAACCTATGAAAGAGAACATATAAGGAGATTAAAACAAAAACACTGGATGGATTTTTATCATTATATGATGGTTGTGTACAGGCACTGCCAACACACATTTCAGTACAATCAACTTGTAAAAGTGCATGTACCATTATATGACCCCTTTAAAGGAGTTTTGCAGACTTTTCCAATCTAATGACTCGCTCTTTTTATTTGTGAGTGGTTTTTCTGAACCGAGACTTATATTATCAGATCACAGAAGTCCCTCATCTGTCAGTTAAACAGGGGAAGATGAAGTGAAGGGAACGAGGAACGAGAAGCTTTGCACTTCCTAGAGCGTCCTCTACTGGCTTCACAGCTTCATTACACCTCTAATATACATCCCAGAATAACTGAGGGTTAAAAAAAACTGGCACAAAAAATGGTATTGAACATTTCAGTAAAATTTTGACTGTAGCTTCACCCATTAATACACACGATACTTCCTTGAAAATAAACTCAACACAACAACCATATTTAAAATGTACTCCGCATAATGCTTTTCAGTGAACTTTGTTATATTGTTCAATAAAACACCTCACTCACATGTTGAGTAACAAACACACCATCACTTCTCATCATCTCTGAAAGCCAAGCTGATGTTGATTCCTGTTTTATTACGAGCTCTGTCTCGCTCTCTTTTCTCCAGCAGACTCTCTTCTGTTTGCCGTTTTTTTGGCCTTAGTTTCATGAATTTATTTACCATAACTCAAATTATACATCATTGTGAAGAGTTATCTCATGCCTTTTGTGTCTGAGATGCTGAACTCTGAATATATGAGCAAAATACAAATATCCCTGCTTTAAGTGTTCTTATTTTTTAATGAAAACTATTACAAAACCATTTTGGTTAATGGAAATAAAGCTGAAATAGAATAAGATATAAACATTAGATGAATTTAAATAAAAAATTGAAATGTTGCCTTGGCAACTAACTGGATAAAATAAGTTTAAGTGTATATAGAAATCTATACAAGTAGTATTTGATTTGATGTTATATAAGTCCTTGAGTTCAGGAGATCTTCGGTGGGAAAGAGCCGATGGGAGACGAGTCCGCGTGTCTCTCTGATAAGGTCATGATTCTGGTCTCTGTCTGAGGATCGTCTCATTATCATTCACTGCTTTCACAGAAACACAGATTTCACTGGAACATCTTTGAACCATTCATTTTAAGAATGTATTAATTTATTTAAATAATGAATGCATGTTTGATTTTGAAAGAAGTCTCTTCTGCTCACCAAAGCTGCATTTATTTGAACAAAAATACAGTAAAAACAGTAATATTGTGAAATATTATTATAATCGAAAACAGCTGTTTTCTATGTGAATATACAGTAAAGTGTAATTTATTCCTGTGATCAAAGCTGTATTTTCAGCATCATTACTCCAGTCTTCAGTGTCACATGATCCTTCAGAAATCACTCTAATATGAGGATTTGATGCTCAAGAAACATTTATGATTATTATCATTGTTGAAGAAAGTTGTGCTGCTTCATTATGGGACGCCATTTTTACTTTTAATCATTCACATATGAATTTGTGCCATTCAAATTCAATCGTTGATATTAAGAATTGATATCTAGTTTAAATTCCAATTTCACATATCAGGAATACAATTTTTACAAGTAGTAACAAAGTAATTATTGATATAAAAAAATTATGATTTTATTATGATAGATGCACTTTGGATAGATGCGCTTTTATGATGGATAGATGCACTTTTATGATGGATAGATGCACTTTTATGATGGACAGATGCACTTTTATGATGGACAGATGCACTTTTATGATGGACAGATGCACTTTTATGATGGATAGATGCACTTTTATGATGAACAGATGCACTTTTATGATGGACAGATGCACTTTTATGATGGACAGATGCGCTTTTATGATGGACAGATGCGCTTTTATGATGGATAGATGCACTTTTATGACGGACAGATGCGCTTTTATGATGGACAGATGCGCTTTTATGATGGACAGATGCGCTTTTATGATGGATAGATGCACTTTTATGATGGACAGATGCGCTTTTATGATGGATAGATGCACTTTTATGACGGATAGATGCACTTTTATGATGGATAGATGCATTTTTATGATGGACAGATGCACTTTTATGATGGATAGATGCACTTTTATGATGGACAGATGCACTTTTATGACGGATAGATGCACTTTTATGATGGATAGATGCATTTTTATGATGGACAGATGCACTTTTATGATGGATAGATGCACTTTTATGATGGACAGATGCACTTCTATGATGGACAGATGCACTTTTATGATGGACAGATGCACTTTTATGATGGACAGATGCACTTTTATCATGGACAGATGCACTTTTATGATGGACAGATGCACTTTTATGATGGACAGATGCACTTTTATGATGGATAAATGCACTTTTATGATGGACAGATGCACTTTTATGATGGACAGATGCACTTTTATGATGGACAGATGCACTTTTATGATGGATAGATGCACTTTTATGATGGACAGATGCACTTTTATGATGGACAGATGCACTTTTATGATGGATAGATGCACTTTTATGATGGACAGATGCACTTTTATGATGGATAGATGCACTTTTATCAGAAACAGCCATTCACTGCCATTATAAAGCTTGGAAGAGCCAGGACATTTTTTAATATAACTCCGATTGTATTCGTCTGAAAAAAGAATGTCATGTAGGCTACACCAAGGATGACTTCATGGTGAGTAGCCTAAATCATGGGCTAATTTTAATTTTGGGGTGAACTATCCCTTTAACTAAAACGCAGCATGGACTCCAGTTCCCAGAATGCACCTGCTCTCCGTGATGCTGATGCGTGAGTGTTTTCGCAGTGCTGGAGGATGAGGTGTGATGGGTCTGCTGCTGAAGTCATGTTTCCCGGTGTCCTGTACGCGTTGCTCGCGGGGTTTCTCGGCGCCGTCGCGTCCTCGTCCGCCAAACTGTCTCTCGGAACCGACTATCTGAAGGGTGTGTGTGAGACGGGCCTGCGAACCTGGGGCGAGCAGAGGAAATTCACGCAGCACAACGACACGAGCGCGTGTGACTGGGTGAGTGTGTGTGTGTGTGTGTGTGAGAGAGAGAGAGTCACTGCTGGGAAACACAGCAAACACCCGCACTTTCTCATCATCACGTTTCACACACTCACATTGCGCAGTTAATGCATAATGATGATGATGATGATGATGCTGTTACGTGACAGACACGGATGACCTTCAGCGCCGCGCGCGCGCGCACACGTGCCATCGCTCTTCCTGATGCATTAGTGAATCCCATTAGATATTTATGGCTGCTGAATATTGCAGTAGTAACAAGTGTTTTCCACTTTCCCCGTGACAGCTGCACATTCCTCTCAGACTGCTGTGTGGAGGTCTGCTGTTCACCTGTAATGCTGTGATGTGGACCTTCCTGGCCAAAGCCCTGAGGAGCTCGTGCTCGTCCGCGCGCACCACTGTGACCACCACCGCCTCCAACTTCATCTCTTCTGTGAGCTTCAGCTTCAGATAAACACCTTCTCAGGAGTGAGGGATGCATTTATGTTTGGAATTGCATATGAAATTTCCATGCATTTGACTTTTGCATATTTGTCAGTCATACAAGAAACAGTTTTAACTGAGTAACGTTAGATGTAATTCTTTTCAGAATAAACAGATTTATGCTGATTCTAAGCCAAATGATTATGCATAAAAAAAATCGTTATTTAAATAAAATTAAATAGATGCACATAGTTAATGAACTACGCCAGGATTTTTTTTAGTGCAGAAATCTTAGTTTTCCATTAATGTGTGACTAAGAAATATGCATCAGTTTATTTGTTTGTTTTAGTGCTGTCAATTGATTAAACATGTTTAATCGCATCTAACATAAAAGTTTGTCAATATATAATATATGTCTGTGTGTGTGTGTGTGTGTAATATATATATATACACAGGTGTCACACACTTTTATGTTAGATTCGATTAATCGATTTGACAGCAGTTGGTTTATGTTAAAACTGTTTTATATGCAATTTAAATACATAAATCTTAAATTTACACTCTAGATATGCTCAGCTTAATCATAATTTTAAAATCAAATATTAATAACAAATTTAAATGAAATAATTCCTCAGCTTGAAAAACGCTCCAGTATGTCATGTGTAATATATGTGTAAAAATCATCATCCAGTCATCATGATGATTTAAAAAATCATAGAAAGGTCAAGACATATGAGTGTTTTAAATGACAAATTGTGGTAAAAAGTTGCAAATGAATGTGCAAAAAAAAAATGGACATGAAATATTGATTTGATTAAAAAATATATTTGATTAAATATAAATTAAAAAATATATTTGATTAAAAATAAATTTAAATCATAATAAAAAAATATTTAGCTTTAGATAAAATACAGTAGTCAACTTTTGAAGTGGATCAAAACCCTTTCATGAAAGTTATGAATTTTGAAAAATACCGTTCTTGTCTTAGGACGACTTTGATGAACTTTTTTTGATCCACTTCAAATGTTGACTACTGTAGATCAAATAATAAACCTAAAATAATAGTCCATTGTTGTATAGAATATAATATGAATTAGGATATGAATCTGCTGGAGGTCTGTGAGTGCATGTGTGCTGATGCTGCGTTTGCTCGCAGGCGTTTCTGGGGCGGCTGATCTTCGGGGAGACACACGTGGCGCTGTGGTGGACGGGGATCTCTCTGACTCTCTCGGGCCTTCTGGTGCTTCATCACACATCGCCCAACCTCACGCAGGCGCACGCCGGCAAGAGAGAATGACACGCTGACCACGGCCTGACCGATGGCGTATCAGAGACAGCACTTACTTCATCTTCATCATCATCATCATCACTCACTATGGATCCAAATGCTCCAAGACGCAAAAACAGGCTTATTTTCTTTTGCTTCTTCTATATCTCACATGGAAGATCTACTGTCATGCCAAAGATCTGTTTAAATATCTTAAAACATTTATTTATATGCATCATCATTTAGTATTAAAAATCCATAAGAACGTATTAAAAACAACTGGTGCATGAGCCTATATCACTGTTAATGTGATAATGAATCTCAGATGTCTAACACGTCTGGATCATATTTTCACCTCTAAATATTTTGGATAAACAAGATGGAGGCTGATTTTAGGACCATTAAATAATAATAGCTAAAAAAACTGAAAATTCTACAGGAAAAGTGAAATATTTTCACTCAAAAATGAGCTCCCCTTTGACAACATAATGCGTTAACTAACATGAAGATGCCTGATTGATTTGATAAATGTAATTCAATTTAATATTTTTCTTAGTTTCAAATTCCAGTTGCTGCCCTCAGTGACATCACTTCCTTCAGTGACATCACTTCCTTCAGTGACATCACTTCCTTCAGTGACATCACTTCCTTCAGCTTTGATTGGCAGTCCTTCCCTCCATCATCCTCCAGCACTGTGAGCGCCGCGTGTGGCAATAATAACAGCAAACCTCGGCATTGTACATCCTTCACCGGAAGATGCTATTCCGAAATATATGCCACATATCTTATGCATGCAAACATCCAGTGATGTGAGAGCAAAGACACTTCCTGTAGCCGTGTGAATGAACACCAACCCAAACCTGTTCTTCAGGCCCTTCTTCACTCACACACACACACACGAGACTCACCAGGAGGATGCAAGACCGGATCAGAGCCAGTGCTTGCTGTCAGACCCGTGTCATCACTAGCGGTGTAACGATGCCCTCATGTCACGATTACATATTATTGCGAATCGTTACTCCTAGGCATATAATAAAACGTTAACAAAAATATTACCGTTGATTAAAATGCTAAATTTAGTGTTGCATTGTGTGTGTAAATGAATAGTCTTGGACTCAGTGCTGAAACCCAAAGCACAGGACAATAGAGACACCAGAATAACAATATTCATGATTCTGAAGCTGGAAATACAGAATTATTTTAGACAAATATGCTTGAACTCTTTCACTGACTAGATATATTTAAAATAATGTCGGCCACTTTTTACTGGTGACATCAGACATTTGACATTATCAGGACACACACATATTCCCCCATTGCTTTATTATACAATATATTCAACATTATATAGTAGTTTAATGTAGTTCTGACACAAAAACTCTGTAAACTCGAACACAGTTTCTCTCACAGTACTTTTTGTTTTGGGTGAACTATCCACAATATACATTGCTGTATTTTTGTATTGCGAAAAATCGTGACACGATATATTGTTACACCCCTAATAATCACATATTACATTTCCAAGTGAACACTTTTCTTGTAATAACGTGCGCAATGAGATCAGTAGCGTGTATTAAGAAAGCAAATGGAGGCTTTGTTTTGTTTGTTTGTTTCAAACCGCCTAGATCAGGTGATCTGGTTTACGGGTCTTCCAGCGGTTTGAGCATGTGTGTGTGTGTGTGTGTGTGTGTGTGATTAGGGGACTGAAGGACCAGGTCTTGTACTTCAGACTGTGAATAACTAGTTCTTCCTGTGGTCTCGGTTGGCCGCATGAACCCGGACACTCGTAGAGCAGCTAAATATAGATATTAATCAAATAAACATGTTACACACGTCCATTCGTTGCGCAAAAACACCAAACATAACGCGACGTTATAAAGTCCCTGGCAATGTGATGCCGTTTCTGTGTTTAATGTTGAGAACATTCTGTGTTTAATCGTACGTATAACTTTAACGAGCACATTACATGCAAATGATGTTTCATATGGTTATAATTAGGGGTGTTTCTGATGATGAACATTCAATGCATCCACTGCAGAATGTAATAGTCGGCTGAGAAGAGTAGAGCACATTTGTTTTCGATGCATCACTTAATTTTGTAAATCAAATTGTTGTCAGAGCAAAATAATTGACACCCCTAGTTATAATGATGCAAACAGACTAATAATTGTTAATGGGTTAATGCTGAATCAAGGCCAAAGTGACACTTGTTTCTATATAGCACGTAGTATTTGAGATGCGAAATATAGATTATTAAAATATGAATAAGTTGCCTTATATGCGGGCATTCCTTCTGTGTCATTATCATGATTGTCATATTTGGCGTTAGATACTGTATCATTGGGGACCAAACGTGTGTAAATCTTTGACTTTGATTTCAAATGAATGGAAATGAACTCAACCATCTTGTAATAAGATCTGTCTCTCCTTCATGTGCTACAGTCACTGTATAAAAATAAGGCCACACTTATAAATGTGTAAATAGTTTTATTATTTAATGGACAAACTAGAGGTCTGTAAACTCATCAAACCGTGAATCATTAAACCGCTATAAAGTGTGTGTTGTGCCGATTCTTTCTGTGTTTACAGCATGTGTGTGTGGACAGAAAATGTGTGTGTGCGCTTCTGAGCTGAGCGGATTTACATCAGTTTCAGGATCAGATCATTTTACAAGTTTGAATCTGTAGATTTTATTCCTCATACACAGTGTTGTGGAAAGTTACTTTTAAAAGTAATGTGTTGCAATATCATTACTCCCTGAAAAGTATCAAACTACATTACTTAGTTACTTTTGTTTGCAAGTGTTTATAGCAGTTATGCATTCAACAACATTGCCTATATAACATACACCTGCAGTTTGTATTACAGTCCCCCTGTAGTCAATAATTTAACCAATTAAAACTCATCTTTGATCACCAAAATGACATATTTAAACGTTTTTTCCTTGAAAAAAATGCCTTAAAATAGCTTGAATGTAACTCGACACCCTTGCCTCATTTAGTATTCGCGGTTCTATGAATATGCAAATGAGGCCCGCCTCCACTCACTCCCTCAGCTCAGAGATCCACTCGTGGACGATCACACGTTGATCTGATTGGTTAAGGTAGTTTGTGACGTCAGAAACACCAGCGATTTCAAACCGTGTTTTTGAGACTGTCTTTGGTTCACTGCAGTTTTAAGCAGAAAATACTCAGCAATGCTGTCGACTTATGAACTTACACATGGTTTGTCTTAAAGCGTATTAAAACCACCACATAGACACATAAACAACATTAAACGCTGGATTTTCACCACAGGGGGACTTTAACATTACAGGTTATTATAGACCTTATGCACCAGAGAAACGAGGGCGCCGCCATCTTTAGAATATTGTCTTTGAACTTCCGTTTTTGCGGTCGCTCTGTATATTTCTATGGCATCGCTGTCCAGGAGTAATTAGCTGGTGAAGTTGATTTACTTGTTGTAGAGTTAACGAAAGTTATCATGAGGACTGTAATGTTTATGATAAGCATTGTAAAGCATAGGCCTATGTCTTAACAAATGGACCTTGGGAATTTTTTTAACGAGCCCTTCTTTCATAACTATGCAAGATCGCTGTGAAAATACAGACCGGAAGTCAAAAGACAATGAGCTCAGCGCGGAAAAGGGGCGTGGCTACATAAGGTCTATACTGTAAAACGTTTTATTGAAAGTTGAAAGTAACACGTTTTTTTTACTTTTGTACATTTTATCTGTTCCTGTGCATGCATGAGTGCACAAGTGACTACATTTCAATTACTTAGTTAATTTAAAAATAAGCAAAATAGTTACGTTAAAAAATAGCGTGCATTACCTCAATGCTCCAATATTGTGAAAAATGTATAAAGTAATGCACTACTTTACTCATTACATCCCAAAAGTAATCCGATTACTTAATGCACATTACTTATAATGCGTTACACGCTCAGAAATCATCAAAAGACGACAGAGGAAAAACACAGCAATGAAAAACAACAGAAAGAGAAATTTATTGAACTGACTTTCAAAGTGAAAGCAAACCAAAACTGCATTAAGATATTGATATATTTAAAATACATGCACAACATAAAGCACAGATTTTAAAAAAAGACAGGCAAAAGATTGTGCAAAGAAAATAAAAAATAGAAATGTCGATCGTTGAACAGCAGTGATTATGAAGAACGTTAATAAAGACCCGTAGAAAGCGTTACTCGCGAGCAGACGGGAAATACTGATCCAACACCTCAATGCATCGAAACCCAATGAACTTTCAGTCGTAAATTTTCCTGCGCATTCAAAACGCAATTCTGTTTAAGACAGAAAAAGCCCTGAAAAGATCTCAGGGACGTCTAAAGCTGTCAGTCTCTGGTGTGAAAGCGTTGGAGGCTGCAGAATATGAAGACGAGATGAATATCTGATGGTCTGAGCTGGATTTGGAAGAGAAACTGGATTGATTTCATCATGTGAACCTGAGGGACAAAGACAGCAGCCATCTGGATTCAGGAAGATCAAGCTCTCGCTCAAACACTGTAGTGACACCGTACGGTGGGGAACCCATGAGCACCACCGCCTGAAGACAGCGAGAACCCATAGAAGTATTGCAAACAGTGTATTATAGTCGCACAGCTTTCTCTACGCCGGCAACGAGCGACTGCGTTCATGAGGACATGACATTAACCCCATGAATCTGTCAGCAAAACATCATATTTCACTCCAAAATCAACAGAAAAAATGTTTAGCATCAAGAATCAGGCAAGATGAGTTGACATCATTTTCAAGATTAATAAAAAATGTACATGCAAAAAAAATGAAAATATATTTTTTTATCAATGTGTATATATATATTGTATATATAATTTGAGCTTTTATTGCATGTATGTTTTTTTTAATGTAATTCAGTTCAGAGAATCACCACTGAGAATGAGAATAACAGAAATAAAAAAATAAATCACAATAATGTAAATCTAAGGGTTAAATGCATTTAATTATCATGAAAATAGTCACAAAGCAAAAGAAAACAAGAGGATTTTGCGGACGTGCTTTCATTAGTGTTATGCAAATGATGAATGTGTGTTGATCAGGAAAGGAAAAAAGCGTCAGGAGATTCTTCGTAATGAAATCAAATTTGGCAACAACAGATTCCTCAAGGCTCGAGGACAACATGAGCGGATATAACGGCATCTGTCAATCAAATCAGGAGATCACCGAGAAACGCTTCAGCTATTCGCCACGGCTGGTGATGAGGTGTCATCAAGGTCAAGGCCTCTAAAACCTCCTCAAACGGCTGCAGAATCTCATGATGTGGGTCACAGTGTGGGACTGGTCCTAACCGAGAGTCTATGAGTGCGAAGAAGCCACTAAACACTGAGATCTTCCAGAGCAGACAGAGTTAAAAGCAGAGAGATGTGTGTGTGTGTGTGTAGAGAGGTTGTGCTCGGCGTCTCACACCACGTACTGGTAGAGATTGGCTTTCCCGTGATCCGGCGTGGCGAACGGACTGAGCCAGGAGAGAGAGAGCGGGTGACCGAACACCACCTTCATGTTCATCCACTTGGACCTTTTGGCCCATCTTCGCTCTTCTTTCTTCAGCTGCTCGATTCCCTGCGAACCACAGTTTCAATTATTTCAATGTTCAGGTTCAATCTTCTAATCCATCTAATAATACGGCTGATCAAGGCAAGAAAGACGACAAACCCTTCTTCTCATATCATGGACTGATATCTGTGTCATATTCACAAGTTAATACAATGAGATTCGCTGATCTCGAAAAAAGTGGAAGATGGAGAAAGAAAGAGATGTTTATTCAATGACATGTTTGGTCACATCATAAATGGGTTAAAAAAAATTCAGGGTTATTTTAAATAAGATGATTTTTGTTACTTTAAATAAAATAAAACCTAAACAAACATTTATCATTTTTTAGTTTAACTTGATGTACTAAAGTGAGTAAAACAACGAATAAAAAACAAACATATAAAAAAAAAACACTAAAAATTACAAAAACACAACAAAATGACTTATTAAAATGAAAACAGAAACATAAAAATAAAAACATTCATCTGAACGTCACTGATACTAAAATTACTATTTAAATTTCACAAAATTAGATTCATGAGACATTATTTTATTTCTTATTTTAGTATCATTGATATACTATTATAGTTTTATTAAAAAAATTTCTTCATTTTAATTTGAATGTTTTGGTCAGGTTTACATGCATCCAAGGTCAAAGACAATTTAATTTTCTCATAATATTAACTTTCGGCTCTTTTCTCAGTGTCTGAAACGCTTCAAACAAGGATTCAGTCTCTCTAAACCCCGCCTTTCTGAGAGCTGCTCTGCTCTGATTGGTCAGAAACCAAACGCTCATTATCATATCTGAATCTCAGCTCTTGATCACAGTGATACGAACAGTAACGATGGCGTGGGTTTTACCGTATCAAACTCATCACAGTGGATTTGCTTTGTCAGCAGAAAACAGCGTCTTCTCGACACGAACGACACGAACCAAACTCTCCCAGTCTCAGATAGACTAGTGTTTGAGGGCGGAGCTAAGAGACGCTGTTCAGCCAATCAAGACCATTATGCAAATTAGTAACACGCCTACACAGGTTCAGCTACAACTACAGTGTTTGAGGGCGGGGCTAAGAGACGCTGTTCAGCCAATCAAGACCATTATGCAAATTAGTAACACGCCTACACAGGTTTTAGCTACAACTACAGTGTTTGAGGGCGGGGCTAAGAGACGCTGTTCAGCCAATCAAGACCATTATGCAAATTAGTTACACGCCTACACAGGTTCAGCTACAACTACAGTGTTTGAGGGCGGGGCTAAGAGACGCTGTTCAGCCAATCAAGACCATTATGCAAATTAGTTACACGCCTACACAGGTTCAGCTACAACTACAGTGTTTGAGGGCGGAGCTAAGAGACGCTGTTCAGCCAATCAAGACCATTATGCAAACTAGTTACACGCCTACACAGGTTCAGCTACAACTACAGTGTTTTAGGGCGGAGCTAAGAGACGCTGTTCAGCCAATCAAGACCATTATGCAAATTAGTTACACGCCTACACAGGTTCAGCTACAACTAAAGTGTTTTAGGGCGGAGCTAAGAGACGGTGTTCAGCCAATCAAGACCATTATGCAAATTAGTTACATGCCTACACAGGTTCAGCTACAACTACAGTGTTTGAGGGCGGGGCTAAGAGACGCTGTTCAGCCAATCAAGACCATTATGCAAATTAGTTACAAACCTACACAGGTTCAGCTACAACTACAGTGTTTTAGGGCGGAGCTAAGAGACGCTGTTCAGCCAATCAAGACCATTATGCAAATTAGTTACACGCCTACACCGGTTCAGCTACAACTACAGTGTTTGAGGGCGGAGCTAAGAGACGCTGTTCAGCCAATCAAGACCATAATGCAAATTAGTTACAAACCTAAACATGTTCAGCTACAACTAGTGTTTGAGGGCGGGGCTAAGAGACGCTGTTCAGCCAATCAAGACCATTATGCAAATTAGTTACACGCCTACACAGGTTTTAGCTACAACTACAGTGTTTGAGGGCGGGGCTAAGAGACGCTGTTCAGCCAATCAAGACCATTATGCAAATTAGTTACAAACCTACACAGGTTCAGCTACAACTACACAGTGTTGTTTTTGGCAGCCCTTTTAGTTTTAGTCTTAGTCTTAGTCTTTTGGACGAAAATGCTTTTTAGTTTTAGTCACATTTTAGTCACTTAAAAACGTAATAGTTTTAGTCAAGTTTTAGTCGACGAAAACAAAAAAAGGTTTTAGTCAAGTTTTAGTCAATTTTAGTAAAAAAAAAAAAAAAAAAAGTCTTTACAAAATAGAGAAAATAAAATGCGGCTGTGTCAAAATTGGTATCAATTTCAAACATAGAAAAGAAATAAAAGTGCCACTTTGCAATCTGTTAAAAATAGAAAAGAATATAAATCCATTTGGCAAGACAGGTCTATTTATCCCTGCATTAGTGGCTGCAATGAGCCTGTTTTGAATTGCACAATTTCTACTTTGTTTTCAGTGAAACTGAAACAGCAGAAAAGCCCATCTCACAGAGATATGATGTGGCAAAGGGAAGAAGAATACACACAGCTCTCTGCCTTTCGCCTACTTAAAAACGTGATATATATATTTTTTTAAATGGATAAAATAGACATAATACTGTGTTTGATTTGGGATTAAAATGATGGGTAGTGTATGGGCAGTGTATAAGATATAAACTAATGATAATTACTTTAATATTCCTTTGTTCCGATCAGAGCATGTGAGCGGAGAGCGCATTTCTGAATATCCCCCCCGCTCGCTCATTCAGCTCAGGGTCGCGCGCTCAACACAGAATGGCCTGCTGGTTCGAGAATATGTGGAATAAGAGCTGCCTCCGACTAAAGTTTTTATTCTAGTCGACTAGTAGTTGTTCATTTAAGCCATTCGTGGACAAATCGCTTCTTTATATTAATTTAATTAGCCTACTTAAATAGGCTATACGGGATATTGAGCGTTATAGCCGCACTCAAGCGCACGACCGCACGCATAAAGCTTGCCACAAAGAACGATTATGATTACGAATGTGTAAAAAAATAGCAAGGAGACATTTAATTGTTTATTAATAAACTGGTGTTTTCGGTGTCGCTGCAAAGATGAATTTGACGATGCGGACTCGCCATGAACGAATAAAGATAAAAAGGCATAAAACGGAAAATTTCCTCCCGTTTTGGAGGAGACCTGTCACGCCAGTGGGGCGCGCCCCACACTTTGAGAACCGCTGGATTATCCTGAAACTGAAAGTATGTCCATAAATCATCTCGTCGTTTCCGACCACCAAGGTCCTTTGAAGATGTGTGGTGAGTGACTAGCCGCAGCCGCAGGTGTGTTGTTGTGTGGAATCTGGTGCGCGCGCGGCATGGGTACCCAAAACAATAATAGGAAGCGGCAGCATTGCTGATACTTTTTTTTTAGCTCAAAACAGACAGATTTCACGCAAAATAGGCAGAAATGACATGCATTGCGAACGTCAGACTTATAGTCATTTTCGTTCCGTCTCGTCTTGTCAACGAAAACTCGAAAACGTCTCGTCATGTTTTAGTCACCTTAGAGCCATTTTTAGCTAGTCATCGTCACGTTATCGTCATAAAAAAAAAATGCGTCAACAAAATCATTTCGTTATCGTCATCGTTGACGAAAACAACATTGCAACTACAGTGTTTGAGGGCGGGGCTAAGAGACGCTGTTCAGCCAATCAAGACCATAATGCAAATTAGTTACAAACCTAAACATGTTCAGCTACAACTACAGTGTTTGAGGGCGGGGCTAAGAGACGCTGTTCAGCCAATCAAGACCATTATGCAAATTAGTTACACCACTACACAGGTTCAGCTACAACTACAGTGTTTGAGGGCGGGGCTAAGAGACGCTGTTCAGCCAATCAAGACCATTATGCAAATTAGTTACATGCCTACACAGGTTCAACTACAATTACAGTGTTTGAGGGCGGGGCTAAGAGACGCTGTTCAGCCAATCAAGACCATTACGCAAATTAGTTAAAAACCTGCACAGGTTCAGCTACAACTACAGTGTTTGAGGGCGGAGCTAAGAGACGCTGTTCAGCCAATCAAGACCATAATGCAAATTAGTTACATGCCTACACAGGTTCAGCTACAACTACAGTGTTTGAGGGCGGGGCTAAGAGACGCTGTTCAGCCAATCAAGACCATTATGCAAATTAGTAACACGCCTACACAGGTTCAGCTACAACAAGTGTTTGAGGGCGGGGCTAAGAGACGCTGTTCGCCGGCAGCCAATGAAAACCATAGACGGCCATTATGCAAATTTGTTACATTGTTACATAGGTATGCAACAGGAAGTGAGACTGAAATTACTGACGACTCGTTTCAGGCAGTTCAGAATCGATTCTTTCTTTTAAGAGACAATATTGTGCACTTTGATCTTTAAAACTTTGCAGAGCTTTTACATTCACAAACAGCTTTATTACACACTACATGAAAGGGAATAACTAAAAAAGCAGAATAGGGGCACTTTAAGTTTCAGTTATGATAATAATACCCATAAGTGTCACTTACGGTCTCGTCGTTGCAGATGGAGTGCACCTGCGTCCCGAACATCACAGAGGTGAAGATGAGGAAGAGCAGACCCTCGAAGCACAGGAGGATGAGGAGGATGACGGTCGCCGGAGGAGAGAAGGAACTGCACTCTGAGGACAGGAAACAGGAACGATCAATACAGGAAGCTCTAAACTCATGGACGAATCAGAGAGCTCCGTTACAACACAAACAGCCAATCATTGAGCAGCACTCTGAGGGAACATACAAACTTAGGCCATGATGCAGAGACAAACACTTACTTGCCCAGTCTTCTTCAAAACAGAAGACAAAATGTAAAGCTACCATCATGAGAGCATGAAGGGAAATCAAAGCAATGTACATCTGGAGACGAGAGAGGAAACAGTACAGATTATTTATATGCTATTACAGTTTTTATTCATATTTAGAATTTTTTTTTTTATACGTTCAGTTTTCAGACTTCTGAAATTTTGGTACCGTGACAACCATGGCACAAAACCAAGCACAAATCATAATGATTTATATTGGTGTGTTTTGTGAGTAGTTGTGATGAAACTCACGGTGAAAAGCACAAAGTATTTTTGGTTGTTCTCTCCCACACAGTTGTTGACCCAGGGGCAGTGATGGTCCATCTTCTTGATGCAGCGCTTACACACACTAGACGGAGCAAACACGGGAAACTCTCTCTAAGTTTAAGGTCACGGTCGTGGTTTCTTGCACTAGCAGTGAACATGTAGTTATTGATGCTGTGTGTGTGTGTGAGCGACTGAGTGAGTGAGTGAGAGAGAGAGAGAGAGAGAGTGTAAGTGTCTATGTGTAAGAGAGAGTGTGTATGTGTGTGTGAGAGCGAGAGAGAGCGTGTGTGTGTGTGTGTGAGCGAGAGAGAGAGAGAGAGAACGTGTGTGTGTGAGCGAGAGAGAGAGAGAACGTGTGTGTGAGTGGGTGTGAGAGAGAGTGTAAGCGTACAAGTGTGTGTTTGTGGGTGTTTATGTGAGTCTGTGTTTGTGTGAGTGAGTGAAATTGTGTGTGTGTGTGAGTGAGTGAGTGAGAGTGTGTGTGTGCGTGTGTGTGTGTGTATATGAGTGTCTGTGTGTGAGTGAGAGAGACAGTGTGTGAGTGTCTGTGTGTGAGAGAGAATGTGTGTGGGTGTGTGTGAGAGAGAGAGAGAGTGTGTGTGTGAGTGGAAGTGTACAAGTGTGTGTTAGTAGGTGTTTGTGTGTGTGTTTATTTGAGTGTTTGTTTGTGTAAGAGTGTGTGTGTGTGAAAGAGAGAGCATGTGTGTGTGTGTGTGAGAGAGAGAGTAAGCATACGAGTGTGTGTTAGTGGGTGTTTATGTGAGTGTGTGTGTGAGTGTGTGAGAGTGTGTGTGAGTGTGTGTGTGTGTGTGTGTGTGTGTGTGTGTGTGTGTGTGTGTGTGTGTGTGTGTGTGTGTGTGTGTGTGTGTGTGTGATTGAGTCAGTGAGTGAGACAGTGTGCGTTTGTGTGAGTGTGTGTTTGTGAGAGAGTGTGTGTGTATGTGTGTGTATATGAGTGTGTGTGTGTGTTGTCACCTGCAGTGATGTGCTCTGTCAGGTTTGATGCTGCAGCATTTGGGGCACTTGTACACCACCTGACCAGGCTTAAGCTGCAGACTCTCGATGAACTCTTTAGTGGCGTTTCCCTTTGGAACGGCTCCCTAAACCCAGAGGAAGAGGAACGAGTCATAAACATTAGTATTGTAATTTTATAGTTGTACTGTAAAATAAAAATATTTTAATTATTATATTATTTACTGAAATACTTTTTTATTTTACAATAAAATTAAAGATTTTTCTACTGCAATTTTTTTTTTTTTTTTTTAGTTATTAATATTATTGCTATCATTATTTAAAAAGTCATATTGATATATTTTGAGCCAAATTGTGCAGCCCTACAATCATTTTTAATTTAAAGGGGTGGTTGATTATGATTTCCCTTTTCTAACTTTAGCTAGTGTGTAATGTTGCTGTTTGAGCATAAACAACATCTGCAAAGTTACAACGCTCAAAGTTCAAAGCAAAGGGAGAGATTTGCTTTTAAAGAAATTACTTTTTAAGGACTACAACAAACGGCTGGAAGAACTACACGAGCTTCCTCCCGGGTTAGTGACATCACTAACCCTAAAATTTACATAAACCCCGCCCCCGGGAACACAGTTTATAGATGATCAAGACAGAATATGAGTCTCTTGAGTCTCCATCTTTATCTGATTCCGGTTTGAACATAAAAGGCTCAAAGTTTTTGAAATTTTCAGTGCATGTGTGTGTGAGGTAAAAGGACATAAGCTGTTGAAGCTCCGCCCCCTGTGCTGAGAGCTGCAGCTCATTTGCATTTAAAGGGCCAGACACAAAACAGAGTGTTTTTGCTCACACTCAAAAAGTGACAATTTTAACATGCTATATACAAATATCTGTGGGGTATTTTGAGCTAAAACTTCACATACACACTCTGGGGACATCAGAGATTTATTTTACATCTTTTGAAAAGGGCATTATACCACGCCTTTAACCCTTCAGAACCTGAAGGTAAAATAGGTGTTTTTCTCACATTTTTATTTTTTGACTGTAAAATTCTAAAACAATGTGCCATCTTCATGTACAAGGTGTCATCTTTTTCAGAAAAAGATTAGATTTCAACAAATTACAGTTATTGACCATTATTGTGTGTGGTGAATTTGTAAATAGAATTTAAATAGACAAAAAAAAAACAAAAAAAAAACGAGAATAAATGTACTGATTTTTATTTAGAAAAAAAAGAGAAAAATCACGAACGAAAGAAACTAACACTTTAAAGTTGAAAAATGTACAATATACCGTCTTTTTTGTGACATTGGGTTGCACAGTTTTCATTTAGGACACTTTTTTTCATACACGCACACATACACATGCATGTATTCATAGGCACACACACACCACATGCTAAGATACGTGAAAGAGTAACGGCCATCCGCCTCCCAAGTTTCATTAAAAATCATCCCTTCTGCTGGGGTTCGGGCTGGCATCCAGGCTAGTAATAAGCCATAGGCCTATATTGCCGAAAAGCGCATGCTGTCTACTGTCAGGGGCAGTTTGAATGGTTATGATAGTGCAAACGGTTGAAGAGTTATGGTAAAATGAATACAGCTTGCTGGTATGTCTCGGCGATGACACAGCCGGTTCTAAAGGGTTAATAATTCGCCTTTGGCTAAGCCCCGCCCCCTCTTAGTTACTGTTGCTACATCCGACAAACAAACTTCATCTGGGCTCTGGTATCAACATGGCTTATGCTGTGACAGCTCTTCCTGCTGACATTTTATCAAACTTTTATAAAGCAGCAAATAAAGTGTCCGATAGAAGTAGGCAAAAGCGGCTGCAATATACGCTCGAAGGCTATATTCACGACAAATGCAAGGAACAACCAGGCATCCAAACAGAGGCAAAAGCACACCGGTCACAGTCAACAAATGACCCAGCGCATATCCTACTAATGGAGACGGAGGCTGGGACTAACAATATCCAGGAGCAACACTGTTCATGCAAAGCTGGAGGTCTCTATTCACTTCATTCGGTTGTTAAGTCTGACGTCACGCGTGACGTTTAGCCTCTTCCGGGCCCAAGCGCTCCGCTCGTCCACTCCAGATCCTAGACTAAATAAACCCTTTTCTTAAGGGCTTTTTTCGCTTCAGTGCCAGTGGGTGTTACTAGGGATTAAGGGATAGCACCCACTGGCGCCAAAGTTTCTTCATTCGTTTAAGATTTGTAACTTACCTTATCAACTGCAGCCATTTTCTCTTATCTTTCTCGTCACAGGGAAAGCGGTAGAATGACAGTTGAATGTCACTTGTTTTTTAACTCCGATCTATTTAAACAACACGGGAACACGTTAAAACTCGGGCGAAAGCGGTAGGTAGGTAGAGAGGACCCGGCCTTTGGACCCGGAAACAGTATTATCGGAGAGTGGTTACGTCACGACTTAACAACCGGATAATCGTTATTACAAAGCAAACGGACTACGCGAGTATAGCGTTGTATTTATTAGCAGCGTGTGCTAGACGACACTTGTCAGGATTTGACTTCGGTTTTGGGAAGGGAAAAAAACGGACACCCCCCTCCAACCTCTCTGGGAAACGCGTATCTGTGTTACAAATGCCCCAGGCACAACGCTTAACCATATTTTAGATAAAACTACGACGGTAATAGCCGGCCGAGAACAAAAACATGAGACGCCCGTGTTAAAGTCAATGGAGCGCTGTGAAAAAGTGTCGGACCTCTGTGGGAGCTCGTTCTTGGCTGCGCTGTGATTGGTCAATCTACATTCTAGGGCGTGGCTTAGCCAAAGGCGAACTGATTCATTATTAAACTGATATGATTGTAGTTATCGTTCTTGGTGTGAACGGGTCTGGATACTGCGGTGTCACTCACCGGGTCGGTGCACATGGCTCTGAAGTGTGACGCCAGCGCGAGGAAAGCGAGCCCGTTAAACACGGCACCGTTAAAGATGCTGTACGCCAGGTTCTTCACCGGCAGCAGCATCACGAACACGACCACGAACTCGGCGTAGAAGACCAGCATCCACGTGATCACGCCGCACACGATGCCGCAGCCGTCCCGGATGAACCACATGTCGTGGGGGGAGTGTGAGCGCGGAGGCGGGGGGGTGCAGTGCTCCGGGCGCAGGTATCCGGCCTGGCGCTCGATGTCCCGACTGCGGTTAGCTGGGGAACTCTTCATCCTTCCCGACGGGAAGCTCCCACATCCTCCTCCAGAGACACAGAAACACAAACGTGAAAACATGTAGGCTGACACACATCACAGTCACGGCACGCATTTTGCAGATGGGTTTCCAAAATGACTCGCATTGCATTTAAAGGGATAGTTCACCTAAAAATGAAAATTAGCCCCTGATTTACTCTCCCTGAAGCCATCCTAGGTGTATATGACATTCTTCTTTCAGACGAATACAATCAGATTTATATAAAAAAATGCCCTGACTCTTCCCAGCTTTATAATGGCAGTTAATGGCCGTTTGTGTTTTGAAGTCCATAAAAGTGCATCTAAGTGCACTTTTATGATGGACAGATGCACTTTTATGATGGACAGATGCACTTTTATGATGGACAGATGCACTTTTATGATGGACAGATGCACTTTTATGATGGATAGACGCACTTTTATGATGGATAGATGCACTTTTATGATGGACAGATGCACTTTTATCATGGATAGATGCCCTTTTATGATGTATAGACGCACTTTTATGATGGATAGACGCACTTTTATCATGGACAGACGCACTTTTATGATGGACAGACGCACTTTTATGATGGACAGATGCACTTTTATCATGGATAGACGCACTTTTATGATGGATAGATGCACTTTTATGATGGATAGATGCACTTTTATGATGGATAGATGCACTTTTATGATGGATAGATGCACTTTAATGATGAATAGATGCACTTTTATGATGGATAGATGCACTTTTATCATGGATAGATGCACTTTTATCATGGATAGATAAGCGTTTATGATGGATAGATGAGCGTTTATGATGAATAGATGAGCATTTATGATGGATAGATGCACTTTTATGATGGATAGATGAGCTTTTATGATGGATAGATGCACTTTTATGATGAATAGATGCACTTTTATGATGGATAGATGCACTTTAATGATGAATAGATGAGCGTTTATGATGGATAGATGCACTTTTATGAAGGACAGATGCGCTTTTATGATGAATAGATGCACTTTTATGATGGATAGATGCACTTTTATGATGGATGCACTTTTATGATGGATAGATGCACTTTTATCATGGATAGATGCACTTTTATCATGGATAGATGAGCTTTTATGATGGATAGATGAGCGTTTATGATGGATAGATGAGCGTTTATGATGGATAGATGCACTTTTATGATGGATAGATGCACTTTTATGATGGATAGATGCACTTTTATGATGGATAGATGAGCGTTTATGATGGATAGATGAGCGTTTATGATGGATAGATGCACTTTTATGATGGATAGATGCACTTTTATGATGGATAGATGCACTAGATGCACTTTTATGATGGATAGGTGCACTTATGATGGATAGATGCACTTTTATGATGGATAGATGCACTTTTATGATGGATAGATGCACTTTTATGATGGATAGGTGCACTTTTATGATGGATAGATGCACTTTTATCCTGGATAGAAGCACTTTTATGATGGATAGATGAGCATTTATGATGAATAGATGAGCTTTTATGATGGATAGATGAGCATTTATGATGAATAGATGAGCATTTATGATGGATAGATGCACTTTTATGATGGATAGATGCACTTTTATGATGGATAGGTGCACTTTTATGATGGATAGATGCACTTTTATCATGGATAGATGCACTTTTATCATGGATAGATGCACTTTTATCATGGATAGATGCACTTTTATCATGGATAGATGAGCGTTTATGATGGATAGATGAGCGTTTATGATGAATAGATGAGCGTTTATGATGGATAGATGCACTTTTATCATGGATAGATGCACTTTTATCATGGATAGATGCACTTTTATGATGGTCAGATGCACTTTTATGATGGATAGATGCACTTTTATGGACTTCAAAACAGAAACAGCCATTCACTCCCATTATAAATATGGGAAGAGTCAGGACATTTTTAATATAACTCTGATTGTATTCGTCTGAAAGAAGAGTGTCATATACACCTAGGATGGCTTCAGGGTGAGTAAATCATGGGATAATTTTCATTTTTGGGTGAACTATCCCTTTAAGATGTACATTTGATCAGTTTATGGTTTCCCTGAGAATCGAACACATGACCTTCTGCGATCAGCTTTCACACACATTACAGTATTTCGTTCATGTGACCTTCGTCAGACATTTGAATGCAGAGGATGCACTGCCAGCTAATCTAAAATAGAAAGACTACTCAGAAAAGCTATTTAAAGGCACCATGAAATCAAAATCGACAATTTTTTTTAATGGAATATTGCAGTGTTTATTCTAAATGATTTATCCGTGGACATCATTATTTTGATTAATTCATGTGCCTCTTGAATCAGAATAACTTCTCCCTCTTGCGGCATCTCTTCTCTTCTCTGATGATGTGGGCGGGTCAACCTGTCACTCATACGAGATCCACCAATAGCAAACCAGAACCATCCAATCAATTCCTCACAGACAAAATCAAGCCCCGCCCACATTTGTTCTTGTTCCAGAAGCGTTTCACTCGGATATACGTCACAATAGGGAAGAAAAGACGATCGCAATTTCTGTTTCATGCTGACTTTAACGTGATTTGATGTGGACAATAAGATTAGACACAATCATTTAAAACAAATGTAGAAGAGGACCTACCAGTACAAAAACATATTGGCTGATCCAAATAAGGTCATTTGATTAATTTTGCAACTCATGTCTATCACTACAATACTGTGCGTGTCAAATATAGTGATCTGATTGCAATGCATCTTGGGTACATATATTTCTATGCCTTAATGAATAAAATAAAATATAAACATAAATACAAAAAAACTAAATAAAATATAAAAAATATATATATTTTATATTTTATTTTATTTATTTAGGATATATATATATATATATATATATATATATATATATATATAAACCCTAAATAAATCAAATTAAATGTAAAATATATCCAGACAGGCTTAAAAGAATAAATAATAACATTCCAAAAAACAAAAAATAACCATATATACATGGTTGATTATAATATTATAATAAATTATATTTATAACCTAAATCCAACAAAATCCCTGATTTTTAATTCTTAATATTTGACAGGGCTGTTAGATATCGTACCAACTAATTCTTGAAACTACAACCCGAGAGGAGACCTGAAAAATATACATTTGTGGATAAAATGCAGAGCCAGTTTAAAGAAAATTACAATACAAAACCTCACCGTGTCCTGTGGCTCCTCCAGCAGCGCGTGACTGAGCTTTAAATGATGAGTTCTCTCTCCGCTTACACACAGATGATTTGATGTAGTGATGTAATGTTCATGTGTTGTATAAATGAGCAGAATAATTGTGTTTTTGTGTAAATTATTGCTCCAGTTTCGTCAGGTGAGGCGCGACAACCAGGAAGTTTCGGTTACTGCCACTGGCGTCACACACCCAACATAGTCCGACTCGGCACATCCGCTCCACAATATTATAAAATAAAAGTCGCTGAAAAATAATTCAATATTAAAGCTAGCTTGGTTAATTTTTTATTTTTTGGGCGTTTTAAACGCGCGTTTGTGTGTAAACGTGTCACACGAATACATTCATTTTATTTAAACGTGTTCGTTGTTTAATAAACTTCTGACGTGAGGAAACATTTTGTGATAACACTTTATAGAAACGACAAACAATACGCAATGTGTTATATAAATTACGGTAAAAATAAAAACTAGTATTTGAATGAATGAAGCAGACTTTTATGGTAGCAAAAGTGGCGGGTGCGCGCGCTGCGGTTCCCCTCAAGCGCATCCGGCAACATGTCGGCAGCTGAGCGCGCGCTCGAGGTGAGAAACACAACACACAATAAAACACACATTTACATGTGCATGCGTAATTACAGTCGTGCATCTGCATAATTAGGGTTGTGTTATGAATGTGTATTCCCTAATGGAGGATATAACTACGCTTTCATTCAATGGTTTCCACATGCTGCTTCTGTTGCAGCATCTAACGTTAGTGTTTAGTTCATCACTGTAACGTGCACACTTTCTGTGATTAATTGCATATCTGCATTGATCCTGTCAGCTGTTGTTTACATAAACGGTGTTAGATTATTGGTGCTGCTAAAATATTATGCATGTGAAGTTTATGACCTCTTATTATCAGTTAATTGCAAACAAAACATTTATATATATTCGCAGTGTCACTCCTTTTTATTTGAGTTTCAAGTTTCCTCTTTAAAACCCGAACCTGAGTTTATCTGTTGTTATGGGTCACAACAGAAGGTTTTTGTGAGCTAGAAACCGTCTGTGTTGATATTGATGGAGTATAAGTCATGTTTAACAGTATGATTTGATGATTTTGCTCCAGACCCCAACAGATGAGAGCTCTCCTCAATCCAAGCATGAAGGTGAGGCTGTCACTCTTTTATATTAGTGTTTCATTAGTAGAGATGCACAGTATATATCTGTGATTGGACACTATTTTCTGTATCAGCATTAGTTGCTTTATTTCACTTTATTGTTAATGTACAATTGTACAGGTGTATAACATTAAAGGGATAAAGGGATTTTTCAAAAATGGAAATTCTGTCATTTACTCACTATCAAGTTGTTTCAAACCTGATTTTCTTTCTTCTGCTGGACACACACACACACACACACTCTCACACAGACATACTGACACTCAGACACACACTCTCAAAAACACACTCACTCTCTCTCTCACATACACACACACAAACACACACTCTCTCTCTCTCTCTCTCTCTCTCTCTCTCTCACACACACACACACACACACACTCACTTACTCTTACACACACACACACACACACACACACACACACACACACACACACACACACACACACACACACTTTCTCTCTCTCTCTCTTTTACACACACACTCACTCACTCACTCACTCACTCACTCACTCACTCACTCACTCACTCACTCACTCACTCACTCACACACTCACTCACATTTTAGGTATTGCCATCAATAACGGTGTTTATTAAATGATTAGCATCAGCAAAGGTTGATTTTTATATGAGAAATAAAAAAGGTTTCAGGCTTTCTATCAGTTATGCTGCACATTATCACATCTTTATGCCGGATTTCACTTGAAACGTGTAAAATTCAAGATTAAAGCATTTGAAGAAAAACAATTCTAAAAAGAGGCTAAATTGTTTATATAATAATAACCCAAATTCCTGGATCTGTTCTATTCTAATGGTGCTGTGTCTGTCCTGTCAGTGGAGCCGGCTCCTCCTGTAAAGGGAAAACCGATGGACGATCTGACGGGGCGTCTGGATGAAGCGCGTCCCGTCGCGTCCACTAAAACACACACAGGTGAGTCGTGCACGGGGGGTGATCACACACACTGGGCTGCTTTACACGACAGTCTTCGGCTGCATCCAAAATCACACGTTTCCCTACTATATAGTAAACCGTATGTGACAAGAGTAGTATGTTCGAATTCACAGATTAAGTTGTTAGTTTCAACAATTAGTTTCAACACAATTCCTTCATAACTGAATGGCAGTGACTGCCATTCAGTTATGAATGAATTGTGTTGAAACTAATTAGCACAACTTAATTTTTAGTTACTAACTTAAAAACATGTATCATTATCATGTATCACTTCAGTGGTTATAAAAGGAGCGCTCTTGACATTCTTTCTGTGTAATTCAGTCATCATTTAAAGAAAAGTTTTTTGTTTTTGATGAGACTTTTTTCCATATATTAGGGGGTCAATTAGTGCACCTGCTGCTGCCATCTACAGGTTATAGTGGTAATTGAATTTTTTTTTTAAATGTCCCCCTGTAGTCAGTCATTTTATTCCTTAAAACTCATATTTGATCACCAAAATTACATATTTAAAGTTTTTTCTTGATGTTTTAAAATAGCTTGAATGTAACTCGACACCCTTGCCTCATTTAGTATGCGCGGTTCTATGAATATGCAAATGAGCCCCGCCTCCACTCACTCATTCAGCTCAGAGATCCACTGGTTGACGATCACACGGGAAACGCCTGAAAACACGAGTGTGGACGCTAGTTTTTAAACGAAAACACCGTTTTCAAATGTATGCGGATTAATGTAGACGTAGCCTTAGGGGCTGATTACGCGACACCGTTGTCAACTAAAAACGTTAAACTTTTTATGCGTTTTACACGACAGCGCCTTTTTGGGGCGCCTAAAAACGCAAACTTGCTTCACGTCATGTGAGCGCCCAGTTTGGCAGAGTTATGATGGCGCTCGACGGCGTATTTATGCGGGTCGATGTAAATGACAACTTTTTTGAAAACGATGGTGTGTGCACGATGTTATTATTGAAAACGGAGGGCGGGGAATATTCGTTTCTCTAAATACCCGGCTATGTGTAAATGTGGCTTCAATGTAAACAACAAAAACGCCAATCTCTGAAGACGATGACGTCATGCTAATGCGTATTACTTGTTCAGTCTACAGTGTTTCATCGCCATCTAGCGGCCTGGCAGCAGAACACAGCGTTTTTAGTCGTTTTCGTGAATCCGTGTGAATGAGGATGGTTTGTTTTGACAATTGCGTCGTCCTACAGCACGTGGAAATCTCAAAGGAAAAACGTGTCAGTTTTTAGCATATCATTGTCATGTGAACGTATCCTAAAGGCCAGTTCACACTGGGACGAATTTCGCGCGCGATATTCGCCGACGTTTAACGCCTCGTGACTAAACAAAGGGCGCCAATGTGAGTGTGCACACCGACACGAAAAACACCTCACGTAAAAGCGTCATTTTTTTTAAAACGCCTCGGTTTTGTTTTTTTGGTTTGACGCACTGTGTCAAAAACTATCCGACCAATGAGATTGGCGCTTTTGCTCACGTGTCTGGAGCTTCTGAAGTTACAGTAAAACACAACTTGGGGGCGCTCAAACACAAAACGGTCTTGCCGAGCACACAGACGTAACGGCGAAGAAGATATACGCCAAGTAGCGTCGACACACCATAGATATCCATAATATTTATTATGGATATCTATGGTCTACACTGCCGAGGAGAAATAAGACGAGGAAGACGCAAGGCCAGATGACTGTAGAGCTGCTGGTCTCGTTGGTGTCGGAACATGAAGAACTATATGACAAACGCGACAGCGACTACAAAATAGGACTATTTCTGTTTACATTAAGCGCCATCTAATGTCAGGGAATGATTTTGCATGTTCACTCGGCTCATCGTCAGTGAAATCGCTTGGGTGTGAACACAAAAAACGGCAGGGAAAAGGTTACAGCTGGAGCCCTGAAACCCCCAAAAGATCATGAGTGAGTTGTGTGTGTGTCTCCACAGGCAGTAAAAGCTCGTCTCCCTCCACCTCGTCTCTCTCATCGCCAGCGTCTGGGCGAGCGAAGATGAGCGTCTGCGGCCCTGGCAGTAAAACGGCTCCTTCATCCTCCTCTTCCTCCTCCTCCTCCTCCTCCTCCTCTTCCTCTCTGTCTTCAGCCAGTCCTCCAGCTAAAGTCCACCGCGCGCGGAAGACCATGAACAGGCCTCCCTTCCCGCAGGTTCTTTCATTTCTTTGCTATGAACACAGATTTACGGGAAAAATCACGTGGATTTCTTAATAAAATCATAATTCTCTTGTGTTTCTGAGCAGATTAAGTCTATAGAGTCGTTGGCACACGCTACGCCTGAGAAAAGCATCAGCGGCGGGAAGACAGACGCGGACACAGGTCATAAATCTTGCATAATCATATTCATGTGTCGTTTATTTGGACGTGTGAATAGTTGCAGGAGTGTTTCTCTCTCTGTGTAGTTGTGAAGAAGCGTAAAGTGTGTGTGGAGTCGGATGCAGGAACTCCAGAGAAAGTGGCGCGGCCGCAGACGGAGGTGAGATCAACGATCAGTGTGTGTGTGTGTGTGTGTGTGTGTGTGTGTGTGTGTGTGTGTGTGTGTGTGTGTGTGACCGCTTTAAAAGACTTTCTTTCACTGGTTAAACTGTGCTCTGAAATACAACGCTAGGCAGATATAAGGTTTTAAATCACTTTTCCTCACGGCTGGAATGGATTGTTGATTTTATAAAATGATAATAGCAATATGAATAAAAAGATACCAATGTTCAATAAATTAATAATAATACTTTTATTATTGTTATCTTTTATCATAGAAATAACACACCAGTGTTTAATAAATAAAGTAAATTAATAATTATTATTATTATTATTATTGTTGTAATAATAGCAGTTTTTGCTATTATTATTATTATTATTATTATTATTATTATTAATAATAATGTATTTGCCTGAAATGCATTGTTGATTTTATAAAAAAATATATCAATAAATCAACAACAAAAATATTTTGTATTATTGCTATTATCTTTTATTATAGCAATGTGTAATAAATTATTAATAATAATTATCATTTTGTTGTTGTTGGTAATTACAATAATAGCAATAATAACTTATTATTATTATTATTTTATAAAATGCTGGTAATGGCAATATGATAAAATATACCAATATACAACAAATAAATAAATAAATAAATAAAAATAATAATTATTATAATAATAATTATAACAATAATAATTATTATAATAATAATAATAATTATAATTATTATATTATAAAATATAATATTATTATAAAATATATATTTTAATATAGATTTATTTATATTTATAATATTTAATTTTATTATAAATATATATTTTATAATTATATTATAAAATATAATTATGATTTTGATTATTATGATTGTAATTGGTGTTTTTATCATAGCAATATGATAACAAAATTGTTCAATAAATAAATAAATTATTAATGATAATAATTCTAATTAAAATGATTTATTTTATATTTTTGATTAAGGCCCCTCCTTCCGAAATACGAAATGTGCTGTGATTGGTTAGCTGGCTCAGTGTGCTTTGATTGACACCTCTTAGCGCATGCTCAGGGAAAGTCCCGCCCCTTAATAACACGAGCTCCACCCACTCAAATGTAAATAGCCTATTAAGGATGGCGTCAATTTCAAACCATTTCAAGCCTGATTTATACTTAATAATAATATTGTTGTTGGTTGTAGTTCTTGTAAAGTGGATTCTGGATCCCTTTGGAGGGACTTTGTAACCGTGCAGATCTGTTTTATGCTCAAACAACAACATTACACGATATCTAAAGTTGAAAAAGTTCATTTGTAGGACCCGCTCAAGTAATATAGTTGTCAATTTGTATTGTCTATTATATTCTATTGTAGCTCAGATTTTATAGGCCGCTTTGATCTTATGGTAATTAGTGTAATATTAGCACATATATATACCTGAGTGTTTGTTCTCCCCAGCCGCCTCTGACGGCGTCTCCAGGGATGGGGAAGCTGGAGCCGGTTGCCACGGCAACCAAAGAGCATCCCAGTGGTTGGCTGGAGGATCTCGACGAAGAGGCGGATGAGGAAGATTTCCACCTGCTCTACAACAGTTACTCTGGAGACGATCTGATTTACTCGGACAGCAAGGTGAACACGTCAGCCATCGCACATGATCACACAGACCAATCGCCGCTGAGATCTGAGACTCTTGTGCTCTTATTTTGCAGTCAGATGATGGGATGGCAGACGAGGCGCTGGAGGCGGGGCATCTGTCGGATCATGTGAGTGCTCCTTATTTGCATACAGTTTCAGGATGTTCGGAACAAATGCAAGAGCAGGATTGTGGAAACCTCGAAATATCAGGGAATACAGAAACATTTTAAAATGTGAATTCCAGGCCTGAGAAAGTCATGGAAATGTAACCAAAAAAAAAAAAAAAATGTAATAAAAAGTTAAAAATAAAAAGTAAGTTTAAAAAAATATGTTTTTAATTCAAACTTTTAAACAGTCATGGGTCTAATAAATTAGGCCTTAAAAATATCATTTTTAAAAGTAAAATATTAAAACTTCTAAAATAGTAATTAAAAAAAAAAAGTAAGTGAAAATATATATTTTTTATTGAAACTTAAAAAGTCATGGAAATTAAAAAAAGAAAAATACTTATAAATAAGGCCTTAAAAATATAATAAAATAAAATATTAAAACATTTTGAAAATAAAAAGCATTTAAATATATATATATATATATATATATATAAAAATTAGGCATAAAAAATATAATAAAAAAATACTAATAAATTAGGTTTTAACTGTAATAAAAAAAAAAATATTAAAACGTCTCAAATTACAAATAAAAAAGTAAGTCTTACAATATATATATATATTTTTATTTAAATTTAAGAAGTCAGGGAAAATAAAAATAAATACTAATAAATAAGGCCTTATTGTCTGGAATTAAAAGTGTAATTGTTGTAAAATATATAAAATCCTTTTCCAATAATCTTGAATACCTGGAAAAATTTGATGTTTTTTTGTGTGTGTGTGGAAAAGTCATAACAATTAATTTGTCAAAATATGTGTGAACTCTAAATAAAAAAAGAAATTGTACACAATATTGACAGAATTTTTTTTTCTTTTTATGTATGTAATTATAAAAGCTTCTTGCAAGTGAAGATATTAAGGCACAAGTATTGTAATTTTACTACTGCGACATATGATAATTAATATACTTATGACATATTTATTATTTTGTTTTACAGTGCAGTTATAAAGCATTAATATATATATATATATATATATATATATATATATATATATATATATATATATAATAAATAAATATATATATATATATATATATAAATATATATATATATATATACACACACATATATATTTATATATATATACACACACACACACACATATATATATATATATATATATATATATATATACGTATATATCCAAAAAAAATATATATATACATACATACATACACACACACACACACATATATATATATACCATTATTTACTTATAAACTGACATAAGAAGCAAGAGTATCAACTGATGCTGATAAGATCAAAACGCCCAGTTGTCTGCTAGTTAATGAAGTACACTAGAGTGAAGGTAATGTGTGTGTGTGTGTGTGTGTGTGTCAGAGCTCGGGATCCGATCAGCCCCTCGCCACTTATAAGAAACCAGAGAGAGACGAGACGCCCTGGAAGCGTCAGGGGAAGGGTAAAGGGAGAGAGAGACCCCCCGCTGGAGAGCCCGAGGCAGAGAAAGGTGAGACACACACACACACACACACTCACACATGACGATGACGGGGGGGGGAGGGGGGTGTGTGTGTGGATGTGAGCAGCTGTGTGTGTTTGACAGGTGAATCTGCGTCTGCCGAATACACTGAGGTTCCTCTGGACTCGCTGGACATCTCGGCCGCCCACAGCCTCTCTCTCTCTCCACACGCAGGTGTGTGTCCTCACACACTCCCATCAATCACTGTTTCTAGTAAAGGAGTCTCTTCTGCTCACCAGGACTGCGTTTATTTAATCAAACATGCAGTAAAAATTCTGAAATATTATTACAGTTTCAAATAACTGTTTTCTATGTGAATATACGTTAAAATGTAATTTATTCATGTCAACAAAACTGAATTTTCATCATCATTACAGGAATAAATGACACTTTACTAGATATTCACATAGAAAACAGCTGTTTTACATTGTAATATTTCACTGTTTTTACTGTATTTTTGATCAAATAAATTCAATTCAATTTTAGTAATTCAATTTAGAATTTTTTTTTTACTGTTTATTTTTTATGCATCTTTTATTTTTTTTAAATCCTTTTTGTTTTGTAAAGCACTTTGAATTAGTATTGTGCATGACTCAAATGTGCTGTAATATAGCTCGCCTTGCATCGCCTTGCCTTTATGGGCAAATAATTGAAAAATAAAGATGTGTTTTAAGTGTGCGTGTGTGCGTGCGTGTGTGCGTGTGTGTGTGTGTGTGCAGACGGGAGTGACGCAGAAACGGAGCGTCTGGAGGAGCTTCCTCTGTGCAGTTGTAGGATGGAGGCGCCGCGGGTCGACGGGTTCAGCTCTCGCTCCAGCCGGACCTGCATGGCCATCGAGAGCATCAACGGAGAGGTGAGCCGGGATTCTCCCCGAGGGGTTAAAGCAGTCGCCATCAACGGGTCACGAGTCTTCAACGGGACACACAACAACACACCTTTTAATCTGAAGCAAAAAATAGCAGACAATCAGACAAAGACTGTGTGTGAAAGTTAACAGCTTTAATAAGGAAAAGAACTACAATCCCACGAAGATTTAATCAAATATTGAAAAAATATTATTAAATATTATTTATCTGTCAATCTGATATATCTTGACTAGTGCTGTCCTATCGATTAATCACATCTAACATAAAAGTTTGTATATAAAAGCTGCTTTGAAATGCGTATTGTGAAAAGCGCTATACAAATAAATGTGAATTGAATATATATATATATTCAGAGCCGCCCCGAGCCTTTTGGGGGCCCTAAGCAGAATTTGATTTGGGGGCCCCCTCCCACTACACGGAGTCACCTGTGCTTGACGATTATTGACACAAATGTCACGCAATAATGATACATTATAAATGAATACAGTGAGGTTATGTATAAATACAAAATAAATACTTAATAAAAAATAGATAGCCTACTAAAATATTTTTTTTAACTTTTACTTTACTCTTTTACTAACTCTTGAGAAAACTGAGAAATCAAAAAACATAATAAGAGCAAGGGTTCAACAATGACAATTATTGTTGAAAACTGTAAAAATGTTATTATTTCTCAACTGTCTCAAAACAGTGTAACTGTCCACAAAATCTTTTTTATTTTAATTAATTAATTATAGTAACAGACTTTGTTAGATTGTACATGACAGAATCCAACAAAGTCTGTTACTATAACACCGGTAATGATGTACTGGCGCTCGTTGTATCTGTGTGTATGCAATGTATTTTTCCCCTCGGGGCTTGCCGTAGATAGGAATGGTTCAATTGCTGCACAAAACATACCGTAAGTAATCATGCAAACATACTTTTATCTTGCTCTTTTTTTCTCCTCCTGTGTCATTTTCTTCGTTCTATTTTTGGCACCAGAGGGATACGTCCTTTTTTGTGACATGGCTTAACATTACCGCGAGTCCGCGACTATGCGCAGTTGCGCACGAATTGTCTATGCACTCTCGAGGTGTCTAGATTATGCGCATGACTTAAACGCTGGCAGACACAGCAGCAGTTGTAGGGAGGTATATTGATCATGAAATCAGATTTTTTTTGTCTTTAATTATTTATTCATTCATATTATTTTATTCATTTATGTCACTTGTTTAAGTTATCTAAAAAAAATATTTTTCGATTTTTCGACTCGATTGGGGGGCCCCCTGGTGGCCAAGGGGCCCCAAGCAGCTGCTTAGTTCGCTTATGCCTCGGGCCGGCCCTGTATATATTAGTAAATAAAAAGCAATGCAGACTGGTGGCTTCAACAAAAGCACATACCATCATTTTAAAACCTCACATTTCTTTAAGCGTTTGTAAGTTATCAATAAAAACCGCTTCCCCTATGGAGAAAATGAGCAGGTTTGTGTTTAAATGCTGCTTATATAGACAGTAAAAGCTACTTATCGTGGAACCGATCATGCATTTATGTACAGTGAGTGTGTGCGGCGTAACTAAAGCTGGCGTCCCCCGTCCCTCTGGCGTGGCTCGTCCCGCTCTGTGTGTTTCAGCTGGTGGGCTGTACCAATGTGATCGTGAAGGGGGAGACGATGCGGCCCTCCAGCCGCGTGCCTCTGGTGGTGCTGTGCGAGACGCACCGCTCACACATGGTCAAACACCACTGCTGTCCCGGCTGCGGATACTTCTGCCTCTCCGTGAGTGCCTCGCACCGCACACACCACCAACACCTGCTCCTCTAGCTATTTAAACACACACTGTTACTTTCACTGCTTCTATTGTTCTCAATTTTTTATGTCACACGTCATCATTATATCATTTACACACAATTTCAGAAGGAACAATGGTCATATGTAGGTCACATGGGGAACCCCAAAGAAGCTACTAAAAGCTTTCAGGAGGGGGCCTATAGGCTTTATGCCGAGCGTCACGTGACCAAGCCGGAAAACAGATCACATCACTTTCGATTCAGGTCTTCATGAAATTTTTTGCGGTTTTACTCAAGATAACTTAAAAGGACCAAGCAAAAATGAGCATAATCAATGTCCCTCGCATGTGCAGATTGATATTTAAAAGTTTTTTAAATTTTCTTCTTCACACTAACGTTTAGATATTTAAATAGCATAAAACACCAATAACAAAGTGAACTCAATAGGTTAGCTGATTACCTTAAAAATCCATAGATATCGTAGTTAGTTCTTACGGCGTTAACACTTTCTCTGACAAGCGGATGCAATGAGACCCGTTTTCCGGTTTGGTCACGCATAAAGCCTATAACATAAATATACAACATAATATACAAACCAAAAACTCAATATACCATAGACTCAAAATAGACAAATACATAAAAACAACAAACAGACGATCCCAGCACAAGTATAACACTGAAGGAAAGTTCAACAATCGTATGTTATAAGCAAATTTTCCTTGAGATTTTTCTTAATAATGGAGAAAAAATGCAACAATTTTAAATTTTCCTCGAGCTCGTTCCAAATCTGCAAAAAAACTCGTTGTTTTTGCCAGTAATTAAATGTTTTTCCCTTGTGTCGTGTGTGTGTGTGCCGGGGACAAGCTCACACAGTCGGTAATTTAACCTATGAACGACCTGGAATATCGTACAGGCATTATGAAAAACATTATATTCAATAAGCCAAGGCGACAAAACAGAGGACGATTTGTAAGTCGCTTTGGATAATTAACATAATAATAAATGTAAATCATTACAGGGAAACTAATCATTTACTCACCAGTTATTTAACACACACTATATTTTACTGTGTCCTTGTTACATATGTTACATGTACTTACCGTAGTAATAACAGTAAATTATGCATAGTTACATGCAACTAACCCTCAACCAAACCCTAACCCTATAGTAAGTACATGTAGTTAATTAATATTACTCAGTACTTACATATATAATTACACTGTAAAAATGACACCTTAAAATAAAGTCGAACCGTATGTTTTACAGCTCTTTTCCATCAACAACATTTCACAGTGTTTACTAAATAAATACAGGCGTACGGATTTGGAACCGCTAGTAAATAATGACAGAATTGTATTTATTGTATGTATGTATTATTAATTTCTAAAATGTTTTTTAATATATATAAATAATCCCTTTGAACTGTTTTCTAAGTGCTTTCGATCAGCGATTCCCAAACGGGTTTGTCAGCCAATCCCCTTTAACCTAAAATATTTAATTGAGATTTTAAATTATTATTTTAATAATTTGACGACACATTTGCATGTTAATGGTTCTCTGATGTCGGTTAATCGTCACATGACATGCAGGTAAATAAATTTAATATTTCATAATTTTATTGTGTGTTTTATTTTTTATTTTTTTTAAATTTTTTTAATTTTACATTTTATGATTTTTAAGTAATTATTAACCTAAATCTCAAATAAAAAAGCTGTATAAATGTAATTCTTTTTTCATTTATTTATTTCTAGATTCAACAATTTATTTTTATTTATTTTATTGTTTTTGTTTTAGTTTTATTATTTATTTTTAAATATTTTATTTGTATTGTTAATTTCTATATTTATTTATTTATTGTAAATTATGTCCATGTACTGAACTCTTGTTATTTAACTATGCCAAGATAAATTCTAGGGCACCTAGAACCATTTTTAAATTATGTATTTATTTTAATTTTACATTTTATGATTTAAGTAATTATTAGCTTTTTAGGGGGGGGGGGGGGAGTATTAAATAAATATTCATTTATTTCTAGATACAACAATTTTTTTTTTTTTTTTTTTTTTTTTTTTATATATATTTTTTATGTATTGTTAATTTCTATATTTATTTATTTATTTTAAAATTATCCCTTTAAACTCTATTCTAAATGCTTTAGTTCAGGGATTCCCAAACGTTTTTTTGTCAGCCAAACCCCTTTAACCTAAAATATATATATATTTTTTAACTTAATTTAATAATTATTATTATTTTTTAATAATTAAATTTAATAATATATTAACTAAATAAATAATTTTTAGTAAGGGTTTTATTTTATAATTATGTATTTATCTTAATTTGAAGTATCGTGTGTGTATATATATATATAAAATTTAATATATTAAATTTTCATTAACTTACCATTTTTAAGGAAAGGTCTCTAAGCTCCTCCTCCTCACACTGTTTTCCCGCCACAGGGAACGTTTCTGGAATGTTGTCCCGACGTTCGCATCGCTCACCGGTTCCACCGAGGCTGTGTGTCGGTGCTGGGCAGTGGGCGGAGCCGTGGAGGAGTGGGCGTCGGCCTGTTGTTCTGTCCTCACTGTGGAGAAGATGCTTCAGAGGCGCGCGAGGTCATCGTTCCCCCCACAGCGCCCTCTACAGGCTCCAGTGTGGTCACTGCGAGCGCGTCGTCCACCACCGCCACCCCCTCCCTGCTCCCGGCGGCTCTCGAGGCCACGGCGCGCGCGCTCAGCGACAAGAGGAGCGGAGAGCCCATCAAGTGAGTGCCGGGAGTTTGTGCATATTAATGTGTCATCATACAATCTCTTTATTTCCCTCTGCATTCTCACACTTTTGTGTTCTTTGATTGAAAATGAAGTTTTGCAAATAAATAAAATGATTGCGCATGAACAAATATTGGATTGAAAACTGTCTTTGGTGTCTGTTTTACACAGTGCAAGGATGCGCTGTCGTGGAGATGTACGAAATGGGGCGGAGCTTCAACCTCAGCCGGCCAATGAGACTCCAGGAGGGGGCGGGGAGGAGGATGTGGTTGCCCTCGGCGACGGTGGTGTTGACAGTGTGGGACCGTCGCTCGTCTTACCCAATGGGAAGCCAGTCTGTCCCAGCGCACTTCCGCCTGGAGACAAGAGGGCGGCGCTACAGAGAGCCATTCTCACACAGGACACCGAGAGGTGACCACATTCATACATTAAATATATATATTATTATATTTAAAATAGTTATTAAATATATATATAAATATTTATATTTCACAATGAATATGTATTTTATTTATTTACATTTATTATAATGTTTATATAATTATATCAGTCTAAACAAATTAAGAAATTCAAATTCATAATTTTATACAATTTTTAAATTAATTGTTTTTTTTTAAATAAATACAATCCAATTAAAATGCTTAGTAATTAATTGAATAATAAAATGCTAAATTAAAATATATCATTTTGAAATAAAATAAATCAAAATAAAACACTTTGTAATAATTCGATTATAAAAATGCAAAATTAAAATACGTAATTTAAAAATAAAAACAATTGAAATAAAATACTTAATCATAACAAATTAAATCATAAAAATGCCAAATCTGCTTTGTAATGAATAAATGATTGAAATAAAATACTTAAATAAAAAATATAATAATTCATTAAATTATGAACATGCAAAATTGAAACAATTTTAATATAAAAACAATAAAAAGATACTTGGTAATAATGAATTAAATCATAAAAATGCACACAATTAAAATGTATAATTTTAAAATAAAATTAAATAAATAAAAACACAATGCACTGTAATAATTAAATTATAAAAATAATTTAAAAATAATAATAAATGAAATAAAATATTTAATAATAAATGAAAACGTATAAATTTAATATAAAAACAATCAAAATAAAATACTTTGTAACAATTATTTAAATCCTAAAAATGCAAAATTACAATACATCATTTTGAAATAAAACCAATCAAAATAAATTACTTTTAATAATTAACTAAATCATAAAAATGCACAATTAAAATACATAATTTTAGAATAAAATAAATAAAAAATAAAACATTTTGTAATAATTAATCAAATTATAAATATGCAAAATTAAAATGCACAGTGCAGAATGGATGCCACTCTCAACATACTGGGGATGAATGTCATTGTCATGTGATCTGTTTGGCTTTTTTTGGTTGGTCAGGAGGAAGAAGCTGCGGTTTCATCCCCGTCAGCTCTATCCCGCAGCCAAACAGGGTGAAGCTCAGCGAGTTCTGCTCATGCTCAGTACGTACCTGTGGACCCGTCTCACACACACCTGTGAACCCGTGTCCTTGTCTCACACACACCTGTGAACCCGTGTCCATGTCTCACACACACCTGTGAACCCGTGTCCATGTCTCACACACACCTGTGAACCCGTGTCCATGTCTCACACACACCTGTGAACCCGTGTCCATGTCTCACACACACCTGTGAACCCGTGTCCATGCCTCACACACACCTGTGAACCCGTGTCCATGCCTCACACACACCTGTGAACCCGTGTCCATGCCTCACACACACCTGTGAACCCGTGTCCATGCCTCACACACACCTGTGAACCCGTGTCCATGTCTCACACCTGTGAACCCCGTGTCCATGTCTCACACACACCTGTGAACCCGTGTCCATGTCTCACACACACCTGTGAACCCGTGTCCATGTCTCACACACACCTGTGAACCCGTGTCCATGTCTCACACACACCTGTGAACCCGTGTCCATGTCTCACACACACCTGTGAACCCGTGTCAATGCCTCACACACACCTGTGAACCCGTGTCCTTGTCTCACACACACCTGTGAACCCGTGTCCATGTCTCACACACACCTGTGAACCCGTGTTCATGTCTCACACACACCTGTGAACCCGTGTCCATGTCTCACACACACCTGTGAACCCGTGTCCATGCCTCACACACACCTGTGAACCCGTGTCCATGCCTCACACACACCTGTGAACCCGTGTCCATGCCTCACACACACCTGTGAACCCGTGTCCATGCCTCACACACACCTGTGAACCCGTGTCCATGCCTCACACACACCTGTGAACCCGTGTCCATGTCTCACACCTGTGAACCCCGTGTCCATGTCTCACACACACCTGTGAACCCGTGTCCATGTCTCACACACACCTGTGAACCCGTGTCCATGTCTCACACACACCTGTGAACCCGTGTCCATGTCTCACACACACCTGTGAACCCGTGTCCATGCCTCACACACACCTGTGAACCCGTGTCCATGCCTCACACACACCTGTGAACCCGTGGCCATGCCTCACACACACCTGTGAACCCGTGTCCATGTCTCACACACACCTGTGAACCCGTGTCCATGTCTCACACACACCTGTGAACCCGTGTCCATGCCTCACACACACCTGTGAACCCGTGTCCATGCCTCACACACACCTGTGAACCCATGTCCATGTCTCACACACACCTGTGAACCCGTGTCCATGCCTCACACACACATGTGACACCTGTGAACCCGTGTCCATGTCTCACACACACCTGTGAACCCGTGTCCGTGTCTCACACACACCTGTGAACCCGTGTCCATGCCTCACACACACCTGTGAACCCGTGTCCATGTCTCACACACACCTGTGAACCCGTGTCCATGCCTCACACACACCTGTGAACCCGTGTCCATGTCTCACACACACCTGTGAACCCGTGTCCATGTCTCACACACACCTGTGAACCCGTGTCCATGCCTCACACACACCTGTGAACCCGTGTCCATGCCTCACACACACCTGTGAACCCGTGTCCATGCCTCACACACACCTGTGAACCCGTGTCCATGTCTCACACACACCTGTGAACCCGTGTGCATGTCTCACACACACCTGTGAACCCGTGTCCATGTCTCACACACACCTGTGAACCCGTGTCCATGTCTCTCACACACCTGTGAACCCGTGTGCATGTCTCACACACACCTGTGAACCCGTGTCCATGTCTCACACACACCTGTGAACCCGTGTGCATGTCTCACACACACCTGTGAACCCGTGTCCATGTCTCACACACACCTGTGAACCCGTGTCCATGCCTCACACACACCTGTGAACCCGTGTCCATGCCTCACACACACCTGTGAACCCGTGTCCATGTCTCACACACACCTGTGAACCCGTGTCCATGTCTCACACACACCTGTGAACCCGTGTGCATGTCTCACACACACCTGTGAACCCGTGTCCATGTCTCACACACACCTGTGAACCCGTGTCCATGCCTCACACACACCTGTGAACCCGTGTCGATGCCTCACACACACCTGTGAACCCGTGTCCATGCCTCACACACACCTGTGAACCCGTGTCCATGTCTCACACACACCTGTGAACCCGTGCCCATGTCTCACACACACCTGTGAACCCGTGTCCATGTCTCACACACACCTGTGAACCCGTGTCCATGTCTCACACACACCTGTGAACCCGTGTCCATGCCTCACACACACCTGTGAACCCGTGTCCATGCCTCACACACACCTGTGAACCCGTGTCCATGCCTCACACACACCTGTGAACCCGTGTCCATGTCTCACACACACCTGTGAACCCGTGTCCATGCCTCACACACACCTGTGAACCCGTGTCCATGCCTCACACACACCTGTGAACCCGTGTCCATGCCTCACACACACCTGTGAACCCGTGTCCATGCCTCACACACACCTGTGAACACGTGTCCATGTCTCACACACACCTGTGAACCCGTGTCCATGTCTCTCACACACCTGTGAACCCGTGTCCATGCCTCTCACACACCTGTGAACCCGTGTCAATGTCTCACACTCACCTGTGAACCCGTGTCCATGTCTCACACACACCTGTGAACCCGTGTCCATGCCTCACACACACCTGTGAACCTGTGTCCATGTCTCACACACACCTGTGCACCCCGTGTCCATGTCTCACACACACCTGTGAACCCGTGTCCATGTCTCACACACACCTGTGAACCCGTGTCCATGCCTCACACACACCTGTGAACCCGTGTCCATGCCTCACACACACCTGTGAACCCGTGTCGATGCCTCACACACACCTGTGAACCCGTGTCCATGTCTCACACACACCTGTTCATGTCTCACACACACCTGTTCAGGCTTCACACACACCTGTTCATGCCTCACACACACCTGTTCATGCCTCACACACACCTGTTCATGCCTCACACACACCTGTTCAGCTGCAGCATCAGCGCTGATGTTCTCTCTGTGTCTCTGTCAGTGGAGGGCATCGACCCGTCGTATCAGTCGGACTCTCAGAACCGGCGCTGTGCTCTTCATGCTGCGGCTCAGAGAGGGCTTCTGGAGGTGTGTTACCTGCTCGTACAGGTGAGACTCCTGAACACACACCGCACGCTAACATTCACTCACGGACGTTACATTCAGCAGATGGGGATGCTTCTGGAAATCAGGGTTTAATAAAAAGCTAATCATTACTTAAAGGTGCATATTTTAATTTATCATTTTTAAAGATTCAATTCATTTTTTTCTAAGCATTGCTTTTATTTTAAAATGATGGATTTTAATTTAGCTATTTTATTATTTAATTTTTGGTAAGGTTTTTATTTTGATTGCTCTTATTTAAATAGAAAATTTAATCTTTTTTAAATAACAACAATTAAAATACAAGCCTTAAAATACATAATTTAAAAATAAAAACAATCAAAATAAAATAATTAGTAATAATTAATTAAATCGTAAAAATGGATAAATAAATTATTTTGAAAAAGAGCAATCAAAATAAAACCCTTAATCAATCAATGTAATAATCAAAATAAAATATGTAATTTATTTAATTTTTTACAAATTTTATGATTTCATTTTTAGTAAGGGTCTTATTTTCATATAAAACTTTTTGTTCTCCATTTTTATGATTTAATTGTTTTCAATAAGGGGTATGAATATAAGACCCTTACTAAAAATGAAATCATACAAATGGAAAAATACATAATTTTAAAATAGAAACAATCAAATTAAATCTCTTACTAAAATAAAAAATGTCAAATATAAATAAAATAAATCAATGATAAAAACAATCAAAATAAAACCCTAAAAATATGTGAAATGTTTACTTGCTCACCTGCATGTGGTCATTAAACGACACCAGAGAACCATGAACATGTAAATGTTTTGTAAATTATTGAAATATTAATTTAAAATCTCACAGAGGCGTGTTGTATTGTTGGACTTGTCTCGGTTTGTATCTGAGGGAATTTTTCATTAAAATTCCTGCTTTTGTGATGTATTTTAGGCAGGCGCTAAGGTGGACGCCCAAGATAAGACCCTGCGGACCCCTCTGTTAGAGGCCATAGTGAACAATCATGTCGAGGTGGTGAAATACCTGATCCAGAGCGGAGCCTGCGTCTATCATGCAGTGAGACACACACACACACACACACACACACACACCTGATCCAGAGCGGAGCCTGCGTCTATCATGCAGTGAGACACACACACACACACCTGATCCAGAGCGGAGCCTGCGTCTATCATGCAGTGAGACACACACACACACACACACACTTCTGATCCAGAGCGGAGCCTGCGTCTATCATGCAGTGAGACACACACACACACACACCTGATCCAGAGCGGAGCCTGCGTCTATCATGCAGTGAGACACACACACACACACACACACACCTGATCCAGAGCGGAGCCTGCGTCTATCATGCAGTGAGACACACACACACACACACACACACACACCTGATCCAGAGCGGAGCCTGCGTCTATCATGCAGTGAGACACACACACACTTCTGATCCAGAGCGGAGCCTGCGTCTATCATGCAGTGAGACACACACACACACACACACACACACACACACACTTCTGATCCAGAGCGGAGCCTGCGTCTATCATGCAGTGAGACACACAGGCACACACACTTCTGATCCAGAGCGGAGCCTGAGTCTATCATGCAGTGAGACACACACACACACACACACACACACACACTTCTGATCCAGAGCGGAGCCTGCGTCTATCATGCAGTGAGACACACACACACACACACTTCTGATCCAGAGCGGAGCCTGAGTCTATCATGCAGTGAGACACACACACACACACACACTCACACACACACACACTACTGATCCAGAGCGGAGCCTGCGTCTATCATGCAGTGAGACACACACACACACACACACACACACACACTTCTGATCCAGAGCGGAGCCTGCGTCTATCATGCAGTGAGACACACACACACACACACTTCTGATCCAGAGCGGAGCCTGAGTCTATCATGCAGTGAGACACACACACACACACACACACACTTCTGATCCAGAGCGGAGCCTGCGTCTATCATGCAGTGAGACACACACACACACACACACACACTTCTGATCCAGAGCGGAGCCTGCGTCTATCATGCAGTGAGACACACACACACACACACTTCTGATCCAGAGCGGAGCCTGCGTCTATCATGCAGTGAGACACACACACACACACACTTCTGATCCAGAGCGGAGCCTGAGTCTATCATGCAGTGAGACACACACACACACACACACTCACACACACACACACTACTGATCCAGAGCGGAGCCTGCGTCTATCATGCAGTGAGACACACACACACACACACACACACACACACACACTTCTGATCCAGAGCGGAGCCTGCGTCTATCATGCAGTGAGACACACACACACACACACTTCTGATCCAGAGCGGAGCCTGAGTCTATCATGCAGTGAGACACACACACACACACACACACACACACTTCTGATCCAGAGCGGAGCCTGCGTCTATCATGCAGTGAGACACACACACACACACACTTCTGATCCAGAGCGGAGCCTGAGTCTATCATGCAGTGAGACACACACACACACACACTTCTGATCCAGAGCGGAGCCTGAGTCTATCATGCAGTGAGACACGCACACACACTCACACACACACACACTACTGATCCAGAGCGGAGCCTGCGTCTATCATGCAGTGAGACACACACACACACACACACACTTCTGATCCAGAGCGGAGCCTGAGTCTATCATGCAGTGAGACACGCACACACACTCACACACACACACACTACTGATCCAGAGCGGAGCCTGCGTCTATCATGCAGTGAGACACACACACACACACACACACTTCTGATCCAGAGCGGAGCCTGAGTCTATCATGCAGTGAGACACGCACACACACTCACACACACACACACTACTGATCCAGAGCGGAGCCTGCGTCTATCATGCAGTGAGACACACACACACACACACTTCTGATCCAGAGCGGAGCCTGAGTCTATCATGCAGTGAGACACGCACACACACTCACACACACACACACTACTGATCCAGAGCGGAGCCGGCGTCTATAATGCAGTGAGACACACACACACACACACACACACACTGGTAAATCAGAGTGTTTGATGTGTGTTGTGTGTCCAGGAAGAGGACGGCTCCACAGGCCTCCATCACGCTGCTAAACTGGGGAACCTGGAGGTGGTGCTGCTGTTACTGAGCACTGGACAGGTGGACCTGAACGCACAGGTGTGTATCTGAGCGCTTTAGCCCGTCTCGCGCTGCAGCTGAGGTGTGTGTGTGTGTGACATCAGCTGTGTGTGTTTCAGGACAGCGGCGGCTGGACGCCCGTCATCTGGGCCGCAGAACATCGACACATAGATGTGATCCGAGCTCTGCTCAACAGAGGAGCCGACGTCACAATCCGGGACAAGGCCAGTCTCTCACACACACACACACACGATCCGCTGATAGACGCCTGCTTTCAAACGCTCCCATGTGTATCTGTGTAAGATGTATATTTACAACATGTTTTTGAAGCGCTGATCATTGTAGCCAATCACAGACTTATCTGATGAGCACAACGGCCAATCAGAGGTGTTTACGATCCCGCTCAACAGCTCTCAAAGCGCCACTTTTTTAATTTCAGTTCGACTTTGTACTGAAGTTGGTACTTTTAACAACACTAACATAGACATATAAATTGGTTTTCACCACTGGGGGACTTTAAGACTTCATTTAACTCATTTAATAGGATACAACAGGCACTCTGTCATCATTGAGTGTGTGTCCTCCCTCCGTCTGCAGGAGATGAATGTGTGTCTGCACTGGGCCTCGTTCGCGGGCAGCGCTGAGATCGCAGAGCTGGTTCTGAACGCCGGCTGTCCGCTGTCGTGTGTGAACCTTCACGGAGACACGCCGCTACACATCGCCGCGCGCGAGAGCTTCACCGACTGCGTCACGTACGTCTCACACACACACACACACACACACACACACACACACACACACACACACACACACACACACACACACACACACACACACACACCAGGCTTAGGACCCCAGTATTATGCCTGATCTAAAGCTGTTCTCGCGATTCTTAATGTAATCAATCAAACCCCTTAAGTCATGTAATAATCTTTATCTTTATCCTGATTATTATATATATATAGTTTAAAGTGCATTTTTAGCTATGTTTTGCGACATTGTTGATTGTTACTAAGCAATAAGGCATAATATTTTTTTTTTAGGGCTGTCAAACGATTAATCACGATTAATCGCATCCAAAATAAAAGTTTGTGTTTACATAATATATGTGTGTGTACTGTGTATAATTATTTTGTATGTAAATCCACACATGTATATATTTAAGAAAAATATGTTATTTATATATAAAATGTTTATATTTATATAAAATATACATAATATATAGGCTACATTCAGTCTATATACTGTATATACATGCAAATATTTCTTAAATACACATGCATGTGTGGGTATTTATGTATTAAAAATAATTATACACAGTACACACACATATATTATGTAAACACAAACTTTTATTTTGGATGCGATTAATCGTTTGACAGCCCTAATTTTTTTAAATTACAAGCATGTCATAATTAATTCTTAAACAGAAGTATGCTTCTATCATATTTTTTATGATCATGATTGGAGAACGAAATTGCTAAATGTACTGCTTGTGATTTAAATCTCAATCTAAAAATATGAAATCATCCAGATGCTGTGGAAATCGGCCTTTCGATTGACAAAATATCAGTAGCAAAAATATCGTAAAACGTTATTTCTAATCATTTCGGATAGCTGTATGCTACGCTAATATCTAAGCTTACTAAAGAACGAGAAATGTTTAATTTCACAATCTATAGCTTCGGTTATATACTAGTATATGAAACATATAAGTTAAACGACATTAACGGTCGTTATAACGTAGCTCACTATAATAAAGAGATTTTGTCTGATTTGTAACCAGGCACTAAAGCGATTACCCATAAAACGAGCTTTGAACCAATCGGATTGCTTGGGTCCTAAGCTTATTTTGATCCTAATCCGATATTATCCAAGTCGTTTTTTTAGTTAGCTTAGATATTAGCGTAGCATACAGCTATCCGAAATGATTAGAGAGAACGTTTTTTTCACCATCTACGATATTTTTCGATAAAAAACTTCGATAGCAAATATGATTCTGTTTAAGAATTATGACATGACATGCTTGTAATTAAGCAAAAATGTCTTATTGCTTGAAAATAATTAACAATGTCGCAAAACACACCTAAATGCAATTTTTTTCACTTGGACTATATAAATAATCAGGATAAAAATAAAAGATTGTTAAAGTTTGATTGATTAGATTCAGAACAGCTTTAGATCAGGCATAATACTGGGGTCCTAAGCTGGCACTTCTGTTTCTGGCGCCACACACTCCTCTAACACACACTCCGTGTCTGTGTCTCAGGCTGTTTCTCTCTCGCGGCGCCGACATCGACGTCGTGAACAAGGAGGGCGACACCCCGCTCTCGCTGGCGCGCAGTGACACGGCCGTCTGGGTGGCGCTGCAGATCAACCGCAAGCTGCGGCGGGGAGTGGCCAATCGCGTCGCTCGCACGGAGAGGATCATATGCAGGTCAGTGTGTGTGTGTGTGTGTCCAATACTGAGAGCCATGGTGACCCTGGACCACAAACCCAGTCACGAGTCGCACGGGTGTATCTGTGGCAATAGCCAACAATAGATCGTATGGGTCAAAATTATCGATTTTTCTTTTATGCCAAAAATCATTAGGATATTAAAGGTGCAAAACGCAAGTCTGAGTTTTTGCAGAACTACGCCCCCTCTGGCGACAAGCGAAACTGCAACCAGAGTTGTGCACGCTCATGGACCACACGCATCTTTTATTGGATATGTTTTATGTTTCATGTTGTACTATTCTTCCGATCACAATTCCTAGTTTATGAAACTGTTCACTAACAATGGTAGTAAAACCAATTCTGATTGTACTTGTATCTAGCTTACGCTAAAGCATTACACCTTTTACGCATCGTCATTTGCTGTCACACATAGATTGGCCATATCAGACATTAGAGACTCGGCTATATATCTTACCGTTTTATCAAGAAAAAAGCCAACTGAGGATCCCGTTTGAGACCAAGAGCAGACCGGAGATCTCTCCATTTGTTGAATGCCTTCCCGAGGTTGACTCTCGTCTTACTCCGACGCCTGTCTGACTCCAGTTTGGACCTTTTGGTGGCACTAGACAACATTTTTCTTTTCTTTACTTTACGTGGAGTTTGCGTTGGGGTTTGGAATGGACTACGAGCCGGTCTCTTTGAATCCATCTTCTACCTTTGACGCACGAGTTGTCTTCGCTGATGCGGAGAATGGCGGCGCCGGCGAATACACAAACCTGCGAGACATAGCCTGGTGAACGCGCATGACGTCACGCCCAGTCTCAAATTCGAGCCCGAATCCCTCTTATATATTTTACTGTACAGGATTATAGAGGCAATCTCAGTGCGCAGAGAAGGGCTCATTCAGCCCATCAGGCAGTTCTTTAAGCATGTATAGGATAGAAAAACAGGTATTTTTAACATGAAAAGTTGCGCAATGCACCTTTAAGTAAAGATCATGTTCAATGAAGATATTTTGTAAATTTCCATCGTAAATATATAAAACGTTTATTTTTGTGAGGGGATGCAGCACAGTTGCCAACATAAATGGAAACTTTAAAGGAGATTTTCTCAATGTTTCGATATTTTTTGGACCCTCAGATTCCAGATCTTCAAATAATCATATCTCAACCAAATATTGTCCTATCCTAACAAACCATACATCAATGGAAAGCTTATTTATTTGTGTTTAGATTGCCCCATGTGACTGGTTTTGTGGTCCAGGGTCACATATGTGAAATACATGTGTGATTTGGGTGTTATTTATATACCTGTGTAGTATTTATTGTATAAGAAGCTTTTATTTTTTATTATTTTCAGCTTTCATTTTTAGTTTTAGTAAAGTTGTTATGTGCTTTTGTCATTTTTATTATACAATAGTTACAGTTAATTATATAATTAATCATTTTAAGTAGTTTAAATATTTCTATTTAATTTATTTATGTTTTAGTTACTTTAGTACTTCAAATTATTTATTTCAGTTAGTTGCCAAGGAAACATTTCTAATTTTGGTATAATTTATATACCATTATAGTATATATTTTTTTAACGTTTTGAATGAGCTTTTATTTATTTTTATTCATTTTGTTATTTTTTTTTATTGTTAGTTTATAAATGGTTATAATAAGTTACATAATAATAATTATAAATTTAAAATTTTTTAAGTTACATTTAATTTATCTTTAATTTGTTTTTATTTAAATTTTAGTTATTGTAATACTTCAAGTTAAAATTTTCTTTTAGTTGCCAAGGCAACATTCCTGATTTTCATTTGTTTTTCTTCTAATATTATTGTTATTATTATTTTATTACATTAATGATATTTAGTTTTAATTATTAAAAGCTATTTTCTATAGTTTTAGTGTACACTAACATCACGTTTTTGTGTGTGTGTGTGTGTGTGTGTGTGTGTTGTATAGTGATGTGGCTCAGGGTTATGAGAACGTCCCTATCCCGTGTGTTAACGGTGTGGACGAAGAAGGCTGTCCGTCTGACTACAAATACATTGCAGAGAACTGTGAAACGTCCACCATGAACATCGACCGCAACATCACACACCTGCAGGTGCCACTCAACACTACAGTAAATACACAACACACTCATACAGACACACACACACACACACACACAGCTGTGTTTTTGTGATATATGAGGACATTCCATAGGCGTAATGACTTTTATACTGGACAAACTGTATATTCTCTCCCCCTACACTGCCCCTATCCCTAAACCTGCCCATCACAGGAGACATGCTGCATTTTTACATTAAAAAAACATTGTTTTTTATGTTTTTTAAGCTATTTGAAATATGAGGACTCATGCAATGTCCTCATATATCACGTGTAAGTTGTAATACCAGTGTAATATGCATGTCATTATACACATTTGTGTCCTCATATATCACAAAAGCACACACACACACACACACACACACACACACACACACAACAGACACACACACACACACACACAACAGACACACACACACACACACACAGACATGCACACACACGCACAGACACGCCAAAGAATACAAGAAAGAATGATTTGATTTATTTATATGTACCTATAACAGTATATAGGACTAAATATTTGCCAACATAAAATACCATTATTATTATTTATTTTTAAAGAAAATAAATTAATACTTTGATTCATCAAGGACGCATTAAATTGATCAAAAGTGACCGTAAAGACATTTATAATGTTACAAAACATTCTATTTCAAATGAATGCTGTTCTTTTGAACTGTCAAATATATAACGGTTTCTACAAAAATATGAAGCAGCACAACTGTTTTCAATATTGATAATAATCATAAATAATAATAATCATAAAAGTTTTCAAATAAGCATCAAATCATCATATTAGAGTGATTTCTGAAGGATCATGTGACACTGAAGACTGGAGTAATGATGCTGAAAATCCAGCTTTGATCACAGGAATACATTACACTTTACTATATATTCACATAGAAAACAGCTGATTCACATTAGAATAATATTTTATATGTTGCTGTATTTTTGATCAAATAAATGCAGCTTTGATGAGCAGAAGAGACTTCTTTCAGAAACATTAAAATTCTTCCTGACCCCAAACAACAAAAATGAACAATAATCAATCAGCATATTGAATCATTGTTATGAACCGATTCATTAAAATAGTCTGTTCAAAGAATTCGCTTACCTCTCAAATGTAATTATATTCCGGACTGTTTCTCAAATCATTTCTGACTCTTTTTACGACTGAACCAACCAAAAAGGAATAATTTGTTCTCATAAATTTACCGTCATATTAATGAATAAAAGAATGTGAAAACCTTTAGGCCGTGTGTCCACCAAAGCGTTTTCCGCGCGGCTGGCGTATGTTTTCAATTGTTTTCAATGGGAGCGCCGCGTTTTTAAAACGCCATGAGCGTAACGAGGCGCTGAGTGTTTTTTCCACGCTGAAGCGCATGAGGTATGGAGGGATTATTGGGTCAGATTGAAAACTAAAAGTCTTAAACGAAAAACTAAAAGTCTAAGTCGAAAACTAAAAGTCTAAGTTGAAAATGAATTTTGTATTTAGGATTAGGCATTTGGTCATTTAGCCATTTAGGATTGGGCATTTAGGGATTTAGGATTGGGAATTTGGTATTTAGGATTGGGCATTTGAGGATTGAGGAGTGTATGCAAATAAGGAGGCGTGGCCCAAATACTGGAGGCTGGGTTTGAAATGGCTGGTGCGCAGAGGCACCTTATAGACAGCAGAGGGCGCTCCCAGTGCTAAAGAGCACACTGTAATGAAAGCAAGCAGGGCTGGAGCGAGGACTGTACTTTATAATGAGATAACTTAAATTTAATGACAACGTTGTAATATGTTGGGTGCGAGTCGGGGTGCGTTTAGACCGAACACGTTTCAACCATTTCAAACCCAGCTTCCAGTATTTGGGCCACGCCTCCTTATTTGCATACACTCCTCAATCCTCAAATGCCCAATCCTAAATCCTACATGGCTAAATACCAAATGCATTTTCGACTTAGACTTTGTTTCAAATTTAGACTTTTAGTTTTCGTTTAAGACTTTTAGTTTTAGACTTTTAGTTTTCAATCTGACCCAATAATCCCTCCATAGCTGAGAGCTCGGCGTTTTTTACTGGTCGCCGAGAGTTGAAGAATGTTCAACTTTGGGTAAAATGAAGCGCTCATTACTGTCACTTTTTACCCAGCCGTCCAATCACAGTGGAGGAGGGGTGGGGCTAATACCACACCGACCAACCGTCACAACATTCTTTCTGTACAACGACATCAACCAGCAGAGCTAACCGAACAAAATGGATGAAAAATACATTTTTAAAAATTTTCCACCAAAGCGTTTTTAGTCAGCTGAAAACGCAAGCCGCTCTGCTGAAGACGCCTAGCTGTGGGCACTTGAGAGCGTTTTGGCAGCACAGCGTTTTTTCCGTTGAGACGTTTCGTTGCTATGATACAGAATATCCGCAGCACAGTTTAATTGTAACTGATTTCGCAGATAATTTGTTTCATACTGAAAATTTATTTTTCATCCATTTTGTTCGGTTAGCTCTGCTGGTTGATGTCGTTGTACAGAAAGAATGTTGTGACGGTTGGTCGGTGTGGTGTTAGTCCCGCCCCTCCTCCACTGTGATTGGACGGCTGGGTAAAAAGTGACAGTGATGAGCGCTGCGTTTTACCCAAAGTTGAACATTTTTCAACTCTCGGCGACCAGTAAAAACACCGAGCTCTCAGCGCTTCAGCGTGAAAAAAACGTCCAGCGCCTCGTTGCGCTCATGGTGTTTAAAAAACGCGGCGCTCCCATTGAAAACAATTGAAAACGTACGCCAGGCGCGTGGAAAACGCTTTGGTGGACACACGGCCTTAGTGATCAAATAAAAAGCTTGATATTTTTTAAGTGTTACTTATATCACCAACAAAGGCATTGACAATATTGAGTATCACTCAGCTCTAATTGTACTTCATAATAAACTCATATTCGTCCTGTGTGTGGACAGCTGGTTTTCTAGATGTTTGATGTGTGTGTGTGTGTGTGTGTTCCAGCACTGCAGCTGCACAGACGATTGTTCCTCCAGTAACTGTCTCTGTGGGCAGCTCAGCATCCGCTGCTGGTACGATAAGGTAAGACGTCATCCCATCTCCACGAGAAGCTCTGAAACTCAGATCTGAAGCCTGTGTAACATCACGCTTTTGTCCTGCAGGATCAGCGTCTTCTCCAGGAGTTTAATAAGATCGAGCCGCCTCTGATCTTCGAGTGTAACATGGCCTGTTCCTGCCACAAAACCTGCAAGAACCGAGTGGTTCAAGCTGGCATCAAGTAAGTTATGTTCAGAATAAATTTGCCATGTTGAAATGTTTTGCATGTCAAATGAACCTCAGGGAGACGCTTTTGCATAAACTGGTCGTTAGAAACACTCGCGGGTCAAGTTTGAGGCCATACAAAGTCTTAAACGCTATAAGATTATCATTTCAAGAGGTCTTCTGAATCGAGATATGGCTTAATGAGATTAAACCCTAAATCAATGTTTTAATTAAGTTTGAGAGTTGCACGTCCAGAGCTGTGGATCATGAACAGTGTTTGTGTCAAACATGCAAACTCGTGGCGTTTCTAATGCGCAGTTGCATTGTTTACAGCTGTTAAACACTATATTTCTGCTCTTCTACAAGCACCACCTACTGGCAGAAATTGAAATTGCATTTTCATTCAGTTGGTGGATTGAAAAGAAACTAATGTGCATTAGAATTATATATATATATATACACTAATTGTTTCGATTTTACAAATGCACATTAGTTTCTTTTATATATTAGTGCTGTCAAACGACTAAAATATTTAATCACGATTAATCGCATTAATGTCATAGTTAACTCATGATTAATCGCATTAATGTCATAATTAACTCACGATTAATCGCAATTAGTGTCATAGTTAACTCACGATTAATCGCAATTAATGTCATAATTAACCCACGATTAATCGCAATTAATGTCATAGTTAACTCGCGATTAATCGCATTAATGTCATAGTTAACTCACGATTAATCGCAATTAGTGTCATAGTTAACTCACGATTAATCTCATTAATGCCATAGTTAACTCGCGATTAATCGCATTGATGTCATAGTTAACTCACGATTAATCGCATTAATGTCATAATCAGTGTTGGGCAGTAACGCGTTACTAGTAACGCGTTACTGTAACGCAGTTACTTTTGACAGTAACTAATACTGTAACGCATTACTTTTTAAATAAAGTAACTCCGTTATCGTTACCATATGGTGCGTTGTCCGTTACTTTTTTAAATTAATTAGTTGCTGGAGCGGCTGAGAAGTGTGCGCTGTTACACAGTACGAGATCACTGAAGAGACTGCTAGCATTATACAGAGCGAGAGGACACATAAACTCACTGGCTGAGTTGTTTACGTTAACACGTGAGGCCGCGCGAGCACGGAGATTACAAGCTGCACGGAGAGCGCTGAGCACTTCAGATGCGCATTTAAAACACAGACAGCGAAACGGTATGAATACAGAACACTAAAGTACACATTGCCATATCATTATAAAGTAATATTTTGTCTAGATGCTGCATCAACAGAGAAAGAACAAAAGCTTGCCGTCGAGTCTGAGAGGAATAACATTAGTAACGGCTAACTTACCTCAAGCGATTAAAGCAATGTGACCAAAACACACGCAGACCTGACCCAGATGTTTTATGTCGCAATTGTTACCATCTATTTGCATTAGTTTATATCCAGCTGGTCACTGTTATGCATTCATTAGCCGGCGAAGTTGTATTTTTAAAGCTGACGTGATTGCAATGCTTACATTGATATGTTCATGCAGCGACATCAAGTTTCCTAATCAAGTGTTCTAAAATTTAAGCAAATAAAGTGAAAGACTATACATGTAATATATTGTCACAAGAACGGGGCGGAAGCAATTGCAAGTTAACTCCTTTATTAGTAGTCAGAAGACACAAAGACAATCTCAAGGAACACAGCAGATGGTGGCGCAGGGACTCAGTGGTCAGCGTGCAGGTGATGGTGATACCAGAGCGGGTGACAGAGAATCCAGTGCAGGTGAACATCAGACGAGACAGGATACGAAGACACCGAACAGGAACTCGAACTGGAACAGACAGCAACTGGAACACGAAGCACGACACAGAGGACACCAAACCAACGATCTGACAAAGAGAGGAGTTTGTGATGAGTTTTTATAGTGAGATGAATTGACAGCAGCTGGCGCTGATAATGAGATCAGCCGGTGAACTGATCAGCTGAACGAGCGGTAACGCCCACTCACACGCGCTCGTACTCACAGAACAACAATAACACGAGACATGAAGGAAACAGCGAATTCATGAATCGTGACAGTACCCCCTCTCCTAGGAACGCCTCCTGGCGTCCCCAGACTCCCTTACCTGTCGATTGTAATCATCAATAAGGGAGTGATCCAGAATGTCTCTAGCAGGCACCCAACTTCTCTCCTCCGGACCGTAACCTTCCCAGTCCACCAAGTACTGGAACCCGCGTCCCCTCCGCCTTGAGTCCAGAATACGATGAACCGAATATGTGGTCTCCCCGTCTACGAGTCGCGGCGGTGGGGGAACCGGGACAGGCGGATTAATACGAGAACGAAAAACTGGCTTGATTTTGGATACATGAAAAACGGGATGAATTCTCCTGTACACTGGAGGAAGATTGAGGCGGACTGCCACCGGACTAATAATCTTGGTGACAGTAAACGGGCCAATGAATTTGGGAGCAAGCTTATTCGAAACGGAACGGAGAGGAATGTTCTTGGTAGAAAGCCACACTTTGGAACCGACGACGTATACGGGAGGCCTCCGCCGGTGGCGATCGGCTTTGGCCTTGGTGCGCGCTCCCACTTGGAGTAGAGTCTCCCGGGCTCTAGTCCAAGTGCGATGACACCTCTGGACAAAGGCGTGAGCGGAGGGAACCGCGACTTCGGGTTCCAGACTAGGAAAAATTGGTGGCTGGTACCCTATGCTACACTCAAACGGAGATAGGCCCGTGGATGATACTGGTAATGAATTGTGGGCGTACTCCACCATTGATAGTTGTTGGCTCCATGAGGAAGGATTCTTGGAAACCATACATCGCAACGTTCTCTCCAAATCCTGGTTGGCTCTCTCAGTTTGGCCATTGCTCTGGGGATGAAACCCTGAGGACAGACTAACAGTCGCACCCAGTAACCTACAAAATTCTTGCCAAAATTTGGACACAAATTGGGGACCTCTGTCGGAAACCACGTCTGTCGGGAGGCCATGTAACCGAAAGACGTGGTTAACGACTGTTATCGCTGTCTCCTTGGCTGAGGGCAATTTGGGCAAGGGAATAAAGTGGGCCGCCTTCGAGAACCGGTCCACCACGGTTAAAACTACCGTGTTACCCTGAGAGGGTGGGAGGGCGGTGACAAAATCTAGAGCGATGTGGGACCAGGGTCTCGAAGGGACCGGCAGCGGTTGAAGGAGCCCATCTGGGGGTCGATTGGAAGTCTTACCAGTGGCACAAACTGAGCAAGCCAAAACAAAACTGTGAACGTCGCGAGCCATACGTGGCCACCAAAATCGTTGCTTGACTAAAGATGTAGTGCGGCTAACTCCTGGATGACAAGCCACATTGGAACAATGCCCCCACTGAACAACGTCGGACCGTAATTCCTCTGGCACAAATAAGCGGTTCGGTGGGCAACCGACCGGAGGCGTTACCCCTTGTAAGGCCGTCTTGACCTTCGATTCGACCTCCCATGTGAGTGTAGAGATAATTAGAGTCTCTGGAAAAATGCACTCGGGAGTAGACGGGCGATCGGAACGGTCAAAAATGCGCGATAAAGAATCGGGCTTGATGTTTTTGGAGCCCGGGCGGTACGAGAGGGAAAAGTCAAAACGTCCGAAAAAAAGTGCCCACCGAGCCTGCCTAGAGTTCAATCTTTTAGCAGTTCTGATATACTCCAAATTTTTATGGTCTGTCCAGACGACGAAAGGTACCCCTGACCCTTCTAACCAGTGGCGCCACTCCTCCAATGCCAACTTGACTGCCAACAACTCTCGATTACCAATATCATAGTTACGTTCGGCAGGGGATAATCGATGAGACAAAAACGCGCATGGGTGCATCTTGTTGTCTGTGAGAGAGCGTTGGGATAGCACTGCACCTACCCCCACCTCTGACGCATCGACCTCCACCACGAACTGACGTGATGGATCAGGGGTAACCAGGATGGGGGCTGAAACAAAGCGGCCTTTCAGTTTGGCAAACGCAGCTTCCGCTGCGTCTGACCACCTGAACGCCGTTCTGGGGGAGGTCAAGGCGGTCAGAGGCGAGGCTAGTTGGCTGAAATTGCGAATAAACCGCCGGTAAAAATTGGCGAACCCCAGAAACCTCTGTAGGGCCTTACGGGAATCTGGACTTGGCCAATCTACCACAGCCTTAACCTTCTCAGGATCCATACGCATTCCCTCAGACGACACAATGTACCCAAGGAAAGGAACAGACTGTGCATGAAAAGCGCATTTCTCCGCCTTGACAAAAAGCCCATTCTCTAGCAGTCTCTGAAGCACTCGTCGAACATGCTGCACGTGTTCCTGGAGAGAAGAAGAAAAAATCAATATGTCATCCAGGTAGACATATATGAATTGATCGACCATATCTCGCAGCACGTCATTGACGAGTGCCTGGAAGACCGCTGGGGAGTTGGACAAGCCGAAAGGCATGACCAAGTATTCAAAGTGCCCCCTGGGGGTATTGAAAGCAGTCTTCCATTCATCCCCCCTCCTGATGCGGACCAAATGATAAGCATTACGTAAATCCAATTTTGTGAAGATAGATGCTCCTTGCAACCTCTCGAAGGCTGAAGACATCAACGGCAAAGGATAAGTATTCTTTACCGTGATGTTGTTCAGCCCCCGGTAGTCAATACAAGGTCGCAAAGACCCATCCTTCTTCCCCACAAAAAAGAACCCCGCCCCCGCTGGAGAAGAGGAGGGACGGATGAACCCCGCTGCTAGAGAATCAGAAATATATTTCTCCATAGCCTCCCTCTCTGGGACAGAAAGTGAATATAACTTGCCCTTAGGCGGAGACGTACCTGGCAATAACTCTATAGCACAGTCATAGGGACGATGCGGAGGGAGAGAAGCAGCACGAGACTTACTGAACACCTCCTTCAGGTCTAGGTACTCCGTGGGCACGATTGACAAGTCCGCTGCTTCCTCCTGAAACGTACAAACAGAAACAGACGGACAAGCAGACACAAGACAGGACTCATGACATTTACTGCTCCATTCAGACA